TATAATAGTTAATTTAGTATATATATATAATAGTATATCTACTACTTTATTTATTAATATACTAAGTATTAAAATAAGATAAGCTTATAAATTATATAAAGGGTTTCCTTATAATATTATAGGAAAAGCTTATAAATAAAGTAAGACTTTTTTATTTATAATAATAACTAATTAAGTAAAAAATAATAATAGTTATTATATCTCCGTAGATATATTATATAATAAAGGCCTATATTTTATATTTAGTAAAGTAATCCCTATATATTATCGCCAGGCTAGTTTATTAGCTTCTCCAGCAGTAGTAAAATTAAAGAGCGGGAATTTTTATATTAATTAGGTAAGTATTAGTTATTAAGATCTATTAGGTTTTTAATATATTTTAAATTATTATTAAAAAATATAGTAGTAGGATAAGCTTTAACTACTTATGTTTTTTATTAGTCTTACTTCTTATTTTAATTTTTAATAACTTTATTAAGCCTTAGGGAGGTATAACTAATATCCTTAGTATTAGGAGGTTACTAATTCTTATAATAGAATTAATTTTAATAATAATCTTTATTTTATTATTTAAGGTAAGATTATTTATAAATAAAATATTTATTATAATTATAGTTTATTAAGTTATTATTATAATAATAATCCTATTAAGCTTAATTATAATAATTAAGCTGGTTGTAATATTAATTACTTAGAGCTTAGTTATAACTACTAAAAGACTTATAATAACTATAGTTATTTATTAATTTACATTAATTATTAAATAAATTATAATATTAGGCCTTTTATAATTAATTATAGTAATCCCTGCGGTTATAGTAACTAAAGCACTATATATTATATAAATTAAAGCCTCCTTCCTAGAGTTCCTTAAGCTAATATATAAGGTCTTTAAGCTATTACTTTATTATAATAGTAGCTTAATATTAGGCATTTTAGTCTTATTAAGCTATTTATTCTTAAAGAATAAGCTATTATTTAATATAATCTACTGTAATATAGTCTAGGTTAATATTAATAAGCTTAAATAAAGTAGGATTAGTACTTAGGATAAGTTTTTAGGCTTTTATATTTTTATTTATATCTTTAGCTTTATTATATAATATAAGCTTATAGTTAATATACTTTTATAATAATAACTTATATTTATTAATAAAGGAATACTTTAGATTATTTACTTTAATTATAAAAGTATTATAATTTTTCTTAAATTATTAATAAAAAAGGTTTTTTTATATATTAAGGTTTATAACTAAATAATAATAGGTTTTATAGTTAAGTAACTAGAATTAATAATATTTATCTAAAGTAGGTTAAAATAATAGGCCTAGGATTATATTTTTTAATACTATATCCTTACTATAAGTAGTAACTAGCTATTCTAATTAATTAATATATATAATAATAAGGGTCTTTAATATATCTAAGGCTAATATCTTAGCCTTAAAGAATTACTAATATATAATTATTAAGAAGTATATTAAGGATAATACCCTTTATTATTATTATTAATTAAGGGAAAGTAATAGTTTTTTTATTTACTAATAGTTTTTTACTTTAGAATAATTTTATTCTTAAGGAGCCTAGGGCTTTTTAAGTAATTATACTAGTAGTATTATTAAAGGTTATAAAAAATATAATAGTAAGTTTAACTTTTTAATAATTAGTTTATTCTTAAATTAATTAATTATAATTCTAAAAGTAATATAGTTTATTAAGGGGGATCTTATATTATATATTTATTTATAAATCTTAATATTTAATATTTAATATTTTTATTATAACTAAACTCTTAGTATAGTAGCTATAGTTTAAGTAATATTAATTATAAAACTTAACTTTAGTATAATATAGTAACTAATAGTAATCTCCCTAGCTATAAAGTTAATTAAGGCAGTGTTATTTATATATTATTTCTAAGTATAAAAAGCAGCTAAAGGGTCTAGGGTTTTATACTAAGGAGTATTTCTTTTAGTAGGAATTATTATATTAATTATAGTATTCTTATTTATTTTTTAATAAGTTAAGGGGGCTATACTACTAAAGGTTAAAGATAGGGGGGTAGTTAAGAATAGCTATAGCTATAGTATATATTTAAGAAAATAATTAAGTTTTACTTTAGCAGTAGTTATAATAATATTATTAAAAGATATATTTTTTAAAGAATATTTTTCTTAAAACTAAAATAAAACTAAAGAGGGAATATTAATAATTATAATTTTAGTAAGGGTAAGTAAGTTTATACTATCCTTATTAATTATTTAGTTAAAGGGTATAGGTAAAGTAGTATAAGTATTTTTTTTAAATAAAAGTTATTAATATATAAGGGATTTAATAAGGAGAGGTTATTAATATATAAGGGATTTAATAAAGAATATACTATTATATTTAAAAAAAAGGCTTTAAAGTTTAAGTTAGTCTTAGATAAAAAGGTAGGGGTATTTTTTATTATTAAATAAGGATAAGTAAAAAATAAATTAAGCTAGTTATAATTTACTTATTTTAGAAAGAAGGCTTTTATTAAATATTTTCTAAAGTAAAGGTATAGTATAGTTAAGTAAGGGAGAAGAAGAAAGTATATACTTAACTAATTATTAAAAAGTAAAAGTATTATTAATAAATAATATAGCTTAATTTATTAAGGCAGCAGGTAGGGTTAAATATAGGTTACTTTATATAGCTTATACTTATAATTATAAAGCTTAGTATTTAGCCTTAGTATAAGAGATAAATTATTTATATTTATTTTTTAAGTAGTTAATATAGTAAAATATAAATTTAAAAGTACTTTAGTTAAAAAAAAAAAGTATAATAAACTAATATTATAATTAATTAAATATTAAAGTAAGTATATACTTAATAACCCTTATCTTTAGGATAAGCAGCTGTTTTTATTAATAAAAATTATAGTTAAAGGATATATAATATATATAAAATATATACTTAATTATATATAAAGTAAATCTTAGGGTTTTTTTTAATAAGGCTTTTAAAGGAATAGTTAAATAAAACTATATTATTAATTTTAATATTAAATATTAATAATACTTAAGTAATTACTACTATATAAGGGATTAAGTAAAAGTTAAGTAAAAAATTATAAAAAAAGTAATAAAAGAAAAAGAATATAAAAGACTAAAGGTATTAGGCTTAAATATAAGATATAAGCTATATAACTGAAATCTAGATATAATAAGGATAAAGAGAAAAAGAACTAAGCAGAAGAGGGAGGGGCAGGATAACTAGCTAGGTGTGCAGTGGGTCACGTGACAGGTCCTCTGTCGATCAGACGCAGAGTCCGACTCCTCACTAACCGACACACCGACAACGTCGGCGGGATGCTTTCCCTCGTCACTCATGATGCGCAACACTCTTCCCCGTGCAGAGGTCACAAAGCGTATGATCTGGTTGAAGTGACTGGAGCGAGTAAACTACTCGTACAACGGACGGGATGGGCGACACATGGGGCTTTAAGAAGGGAATTGCATGCTGGCAGGGATCTTATCTGATGTATGATTGATAAAAGCATGTCATGGCCAAGGTGGATCGAGGGGGCCACATGGCCATCGATTTGTGCCCGTTTAGTTGACCGTCTTCGGACCTTTAGCCGGTTCTAATGCCTCGTGCGTAAGCTATATGGATCTTGATTGTGCTCTCCGAGCAAAATTCCCACCTGGAAGAAAACCGAGAGTCCACGATGCCAAGACAATTCAACCAGGGAGATGCATGACAAGCGCTGACTAGCCAGTAGAAAATTTTCAACAAGTGCGGAGAGCCGAATGTGGTTCATGATTTGTTCGATGGTGAGCATTCAGAGTCGCATCTGTAATATAGACGTGCATACAAAGAGATGTTTTGATTATAAGTCTCAGGGAAGAGCTCTTGACTCTTAGCGTCCATCGTGCTGAAGATGGCATAAGCAGGCATCAGGATGTCTTACTGGGTAATTGCCTTCATGTTGCCTTTCACGGAATTTCTCATGGTGAAGCTGCCCTTGCGATTGGCCAACACAAGACTCGGAACTGCTCGTACACACTGGATATATGAGCACTAGTATCTGGGCTATTCTCCTTGCAAAATGACTCGAGAAATGGGACTGAGGGGGTCCTTGTTGAGCCAGTGCCGATTATCCAGTGTCATTCGATAATGCCTCACGTTCTGCTTTAGTGGTCCAGAGGGGGCTCTCCGTTACGTATTCGCACAGTTCCTTCGTACACAGAATAAACGTGCCTGTTTTTGAGGTGGATTCTGTCTGTCTGCTTTGTTATCCGCCGGGCAAATTGAGTGATCCGAGCGACTCTAGACCCGCTTGTCAAACCCAGAAACATGGCAGCATTGGCGCGGAAATAACCGTAGAATATGCATGATCTGGTTAAAGCCTTTGTTCGAGGGCATTGGAAGGTTGTCTGAAGCTGTATATAGGCTCAACCCTTTCTTAACAGAGATTGCCCGAAAATCTGTCCCAAAGATGGGAATCGGGTAGTTGAGAGTAAGGTACCGTCGCATTGTGTTGCCGAACTGAGCCGCCCATACGGTTAACAATTGGTTGCCAAATCACTCCATCTCAATTCCATAAACGATGAGCTTCTAATCGATCGATTACATCCTTGTCGAAATGTGTTGAGGTTGCCGAGTTACTGTATACACTCAACCCGAATGACTTGGGTCAGGCGTCGTGTTGTTAAAATGTGAGTGCAAAGGAAATATTGACTTTGCAACGACAAAAAATCTTCAACATGTGTTAAATGAAGTCAAAATGAATCAAGATGAACAAGAGAGTAAAATTATAAAAGCAGCAGAGTTTTGAGAGCAAAGCAATGGCAAAGAGAGTCGCAGAGCAGTGAAGAAGCTCTGAATGTTCCATGTGCAGGGATCGCCCCACCACGAGTGCGATAATCGATAAGATAAGCCACTGCAGCTCTTTTAGAAAAAAAAAATTTCCCCAGCAAACGAGCTTCATTCATCCCATTGAGAGCATTGGCCGGAAGATTTGCGACAAAATGTCCGCCTCAATTGCATCGCCCGAGCCGGCCATTTCAAAATCCGAAAAGAAGCACAAAAAGGACAAGGCGTCCAAGTCAGAAAAGAAGAGAGACAGGGAGGATGATGCCCTGGCCGACAGAACCCGCAAGCACAAGAAATCCAAGAGCGCATCCGTCGAAGAGAACCAGGACGAAGAGGTCGAGGCTTCACAACTGCTGGACAATGACGATGCCGAAGTAGCGCACAAGAAGAAGAAGAAGGAGCACAAAAAGAAGCACAAGGAAGAGGAGCACGAGGTCGAGGATGCTAGCGAAGAGAAGCCCAAGAAGAAGAAGAAGTCCAAGAAGCACGCCGACGAGGAAGCCGAGAACGAGGACGCTCCTGAGGCTGCCGATGCCGATGCCAATGTCGTGGATGTCGAACAACCCGCCCAGCAGACATCCTCTGAAATCTACCAACCTCCCGATATCCCTGCCAACCCTCAGTATCCATTCTACAGCCAGACCGTTTCTCTCTACGAGCCCATATACCCCATCGGCTGGTCGCAACCAGTAACGAACAGCGAGTACCAACATCTACAGCACCTCAAGAACAAATACGTTCCGTCCTTGAGAGGCGTGTTGATGAACTACAAGAACGTCGCTCTGGGCGAGAACCCCGGGCGCAAAGGTGCCGCGGCTTCAGATGACGACGCGACCACCCTCAAGTCGGTCAACGAGTTTGCAGTTGGCTTTGGCTGGATCACTGCTGAGGTCGACCTGTTTGTCCCTAGCCGTGGTGCGTGGATGGAAGGCAGCATCAACCTCCAGACCGAGGGCCACATTGGTGTCGTCTGCTTTGGCCAATTCAACGCCTCTATTGAGGCTCGACGTCTGCCATCTGCCTGGAAGTGGATCTCTAACGAAGACCCCGAGGCCTATGGCATGGAGGAGACTGCATCAGTGATCACCGCAGACGACCACGGAGTTGTGCGCCAGATCCACAGCACGGGATTTTGGGTTGACGGAAATGGAAAAAAGGTCAAGGGCAAGATTCGTTTCCGCATTCGCAACTTCGACGTCGGTGTCAGCGGCGAGACGAGCTACCTCAGTCTAGAGGGAACCATGTTGGACAGGGAGGCGGAAAAGGCGCTCGTCAAGGAGGAGGCCGCAACGGCAGCTTTGAGAAAGGGAACCAAGGGAGCTCGCAAGGTCCAGCGAAGAAGAGCACCAGAGTTCGCCATGACGCGTTTCATGGATGAGGCGGAGCAACCTGCCGAGGCGCAACCTGCTGAGGCGGAAGCGGCTACGGCATAGGAGGAAAAAAGAATTTTGGCATCACTGACGGGACGTTGAGTGGTAGAGGGAGGCCATACAGCCAGGGGGGAACATGCTTTCGGAGTTTACTATAATACCCTCTTTGGATGAGGGCTTGTCACATTATTTATGAGCGTTGTACATTTGAGAATTGAATCAAAAATTCTATTGCTTGCTAAGCATGGGCTATCTCTTGTTATTGAACTGTGACAACCCTTTAGCTATCCTATAATTCCAAAAATGCAGAGTACTCTGTACAACTGCCAAACCAGATGTGTCGTGCTGCGTGAATCCTGTCTCGGCTGCACTCTGGTTTCCTACGCCGATGCCTTTACCATCGGTTCCCATGGTCGTGCCAAATTCCAGAGATATATCTCCCCAATTGGCTCGCTCGTTGTGTTCTTTACAACAACATGCTGAAAGGGGGTCATGGCCGACGACAGCAACAGTGAGGCGTCAACCCAGGGAGAGGCATCTTCCCAGCTGGGCTGCTCACAGAATCTGTCCACCTGTTCTCTAAACGTGTTCCAATCCGAATGGTCATTCACAACGACCTGAAACCGCACTCCTTGGATATCAACCGTGATGCGCCGCATCATACTTGGGAACTCGTCAGAGCACCCGCTGCTGAGAATCCACGAGTAATCGGTTCTGTCGCCGTTGCTTTCCCAGTCATACCACACCTGCGTCCCCCGTTCTGAAAAGTCGCTCAGCACCAGTCTTGACTGGGCGTCGAAGCCGATTGCGCAGTGTTGTTTCGATATGCCCTCGACGCTGGGCAGAATGACGTCGCAGGTCCGAGGATCCGTGCCGAGGATGAAGCTGCCTGGCCGTTTGGGCGGCTGCGAGAATGTGAGTTGGATGGCTCGCGCGGGAGCATGATTTGTGAGATTGGAGAGGCGAGATGAGAGATGTGGGTGTGAGTCTGCGGATGAGATGATGCGGGAGGCGTTTTCGGGGAGCTGAGTGGATTTGTCGGCCCAGGAATGATGTGAGGTTGGGACGAGCCAGGCGATGATGTCGTCGGGATGAGATGCCATGGTTTGTGGTATTTGAGTTATTAAGAGTGTATGATTATTTGTATGAGGTTAAAAGTGAATGCAGTTGAAGTGAAAGTAAGCGCCGTGGTGATGCAATATGCTGAAGCAGGTCGTTTGGGTGTAAAGAGTGAATCACAAACAAGTGTAAGTGTGTCGTTATTAAACCCGTGTTGTAGACGGATGTTAATTCGAAAATGAGACAAGGCAAGTTGATGAAAAAAGAATTTGAGCAAGATTCAAAGACGAAAAGAGAGGTAGTCGTACAGAGACAAGATTGAAGACGAGGAAAAGCACACGTCTGAGGGATTCCAGCCTCTCTACTTATATAGAACCTATACACGACGGAGCAGCATGCAAAAACCTCCATCTCAGCCCAACAGCCCGACGATCCACGACAAACGCGCTCATCGCATCGAACAACGAGCATCTACTGGTTACCATGTCGTGCTGCCGCGTCGCGAAAACAGCTGACTTGCATGAACTATAAGCAGATGACGCATACTTTGGATGTTTCTGCAGCCCTTTTAGTGGTGGCTGGTTCGCCGCAAATCGTGAACAAAGTGAGGCTTTGGGCAGTAATGAGATTCACGGCGCCGTGGCAGCCAATCATTTGCTGCTGGACGGCCTAGTTTGGTGCGCGACGCACCGCGAGAATGCGCGTTTGGGAACGTCGCGGGTCGCGGGTTGGGATTGGAGATGGTGAAAGGGTTTTTTTTTTTTAATTTTTCTTTTTTTTTTTTCATGTCCAACGCTGGTTTCAGATTGGGGGTGGGAAATTGTGTTTGAGGTGCTTGTTGTTTGTGATTGTGAAGGGTTGATGGATGTGATACAGAGCAGGTTGATCGCTAGACCAAGCAATGGACTAATACAAAGAATCGTGCGGCCGCTGCCTGGACTCTGTGACATGAGATGACAATTTGGGAGTCATCAGGAGACTCTATTGACATGTAGTGAGGACATGAATAGTATTCAATGGCCGTTGTTTGTTATTTTCATGTTGCCAAGTGCAAAATACAGCATTCAGCCATCACCACTTGCAGTGGGTGACAGCGAGAGGTACTTCTGCTGAGGTACCCGACCGTTGAAAAATTGCTGCCTCACATTTAGGGCCGCAAAACTCCAGCTCCTCCAACGGCCGACCTTTTCCCGGACAGGCCCTTTGCGGGCATCCGAATGCCTCATCCCACGACATCATCGAAGGCCAATTGAATCGCAAAAATGGCTTCCGACGCAGCAACAGACGCGCGGCGTAAGTGCTCCTGCTCTCTCTCGCCCTCATGAGCCTCTAAATCTCGATCCGTCCGCAGCCGCTGACCCCAAAGCGCAGAGGCGACCCGCGAGGAGATGCGCGATGCCAAGCTCCCTCTCGCCTACAGAGACAGCTGCGCTCACCTCCTGATTCCCCTCAACAAGTGCCGGAGAGAGACCTGGTACGCTCCGTGGAGTTGCACGGTATGTTTTTCAATCCAGCCTGGAGTCGAGCAGAGCGTGTTTTGCGGAGGGAGAGGGGGAGGTCGCTGGGAGCAAAAAGGACAGCCTTGCTAATTTATATCTGATCGGGAATGCTAGGACGAGCGACACGGTTACGAGAAATGCCAGTACGTCGAGTTCAAGAAGCGGGTGGCCAAGATGAACGAGCTGCGGGAGTCGAAAGAGGGCGCACGAAGCAACTAGGGTGCTGCGAGAGCGATGGGACGCCGTGTACATATCATCCATGCATGAGGAACGGGAATAGAAAAACGTTGAAACACGCGGATCTTGAATTATGCACGTCTTTTCCTTTGGTGCTCTATACTATGGAGCTTCCATCTTTGAGGGAATGATGTCGACACTCTCATTCGAACACCTTGAGGGAATGGCGAATGCGGTCGAATTATATCGAGCAGTAAGGATCGACACGAGCTTTTTATCTCTTTTCAAGTCAGACTTCGTCCACCAGCTCGCTCTTATTATCTAGCCCTGCCCATTTCGGCTTTCCATCAGGTAAATCCACGACCCGCTGCGGATAGAAGAGGTGGCACATGCATGCAACGTTAGCCATCGTGTTCAAGCCAAAATCCCGGGAAATGACATACTGGACAGCAAAATTCTTCCTTTGGTCCTCGTTTTGGAATGACAGGAGTGTTGGAAAGAGCAGGACCATGTTTCGTCCTTCATCCATAATGAGCGTGCCGCAATGAGAGCAGCTCACTTTGCAGGGTAGTTCGTGTTCTGGTGACTGTGATCCGGAGTTGTAGAAGCGCAGGCTTTCGGTGCCTTTTTGGAATGCCATGTCTGACTTTTGAAATATTGCTGCCCATTGGAAAGGGGCTCCTGGACTTTGATGTGAGCATATCTAAGAACATGAGCTAACAAGCCGAGAGATGCTTTACCGTGGATGACTTTGCAATCGCCGCAGTGACAGTATTTGGAGGCTAGGGGTTTATCTTTGCTGATCCAGTACTTTACTCTGCCGCAGTGACAGGCTCCTTCCAACACCTTGTTAAAATTCTGGTTAGGTTCCTGGTAAGGCGGTTGCGTTTTCCAGTGTTGGTCCGTCATTTTGTGAGGTAGCACGATTGTTGATACAAAAGGCGGTATATCAATTTGACATATCAGGCACACCTGGGCGTTGATCATAAAAAAGGATAATACTGAACGCGAATACTATTCACAGCTGCATGTTGGCAATTTATATTACTATGAGAGTACATGACGTAACAGTTGTGACGATATCATGATGTTTGATCCCCAAGGTCTCGGGTAGATGTAGTCAACGGCGATGGCCGTGATGCTTTCTTGTAGTCACACAAAGAATCACTAACAAATTAAATTCAAATGACAAGCACAGACACGAGGGAATAGGTTTCAAACCTTCAGATAACACGCTCGAATGCTTTTGCTCACACTGGACCGTCTAAGCCCAAAAGTGGCTCAATTCCGATTTCCGTATGTGACAACAGACCGTCCGTACTTGAGGAGACATCACTTACACGGAATTAACACGGGTTTAAAATCACATGGATCTTACAGAGGAATCTCCAGGTGATTTGAAAATTTACAGAAAAGCTCCAATACGTACAACATGGGCCTAATCGAGCATGTGCTGCTTTTGGCCCCTTCAGTTGCGCATTCTGGATCAAAGACTGGCTGTAAGAGAAGCTGAGCGGTAAAAGCGGGGTGAGAAAAGGATTCCGCGCAAAGACGCCGCCTTTCAGAAAACAACGGCTGATGGGCGATTTGCATTGGTGCTGTTTAATAGACTGAGAATGTCCGTTATGCGAAAGCTTGTGTAAACACCACAACTGGCCAACTTTTCTCTATGTATCCTGTTCTTTGTGTCAAGCTTTAGAGATACCATCGGCATCCTCCCCCAAAAATGCAATAGCTTTCTCATGAACATGAACCGCGCGACTCGCAGTCTCTGAATTCCTCCTGGGGGTTTGCCACGCTCACACCGGCCGTATCCGGCAATAACAAATGCTCGATATGGAGCCCTTCCAACTGCTAATCCCAAGACTTCCTTCTCGTTGGCGGGATGAGGATGTCATTTTGTAACCACGAAGCTGCTGTGCCTTGACCGATTCTCAAACTTGTCCGCACAAGACTCACTATGAGGAAAACGAGGTGCAAGTTGGGTATATAAAGGCGAAGAAGATGAAGCCCACTATGCTTGCAAACAATTCGCTGAGCTTAAAAGTCTTCATACATTCGCGTCTCCTCCTCCTTTACTTCCTTCTCCTTACAATCCAAATCAGGCACCATGGCCAGTGAGGCGTGCTGCAAGTTGGCTCCGGTCGCTGTTGGCCACATCCCAAGGGTAAAAATAATTATAATTTGCCGGCATCAACACCTGTAAGACGAGCCATCTTAAGCGGGGAGAGTTAGTTGTTGGGGCGGTTTCAAGGCAAAAAGAAATATGGAAAAGAAAGAATCTGATACTCAAAGATTTCTTTTACTTGTCAATGATGGTGAAACTTATTGCGTGTGCCAAGTAGAGATGTGTTCCACCATTCCCTCTAGCATACAGCTGGGCTGCTTGGCAAAGAGTGCGTTGGTCAGATTACGTATATTTTGCACGCCCTAGTGTGGGCTCAGCTGCAGGATATCCTCCGTTATGTGTTTCGTATATTCCTACTGGACGGAAAAGCTCTACTTGTATGCACCATGAAACCTGCGTAGATGAAAGTTCTGGTCCTTGTTCTTGGATAGGGGAAGTTCCCTATCACAAAGGTATGCCCGTGTTTCTGCTTAAGCTGCAACGGAATGTAGCAACCGAGTACTTGATCTGGATATGGTGTGGCCGCCCATTAGAACACCAATACGCAACATCATGGCTGCCGCGCAAGATTTTTCCCAAATAGTATATTTGGTTCGATCCGCTGGAACATATGTTTTCACAATCTTGTGAGCATCTTGTATCTCTATTGGCGCGAATAAAACGACGTCCAAGGTGGAACTCAGACAAATGATTGACATCAGGCCCTTGCACCTTGGTCAGCAATTAGCAACCCCATGGGGGGATCCATATCCAAAATGACACAATACTTTCCTATTTGGTTTCGTGTTTCCCCGTAAAGAACCGCGTTTATTAATCGCGAACCAGCCTCACTGGGTATGAAGCTTATCACAGCTGCTTACGGGCATGTGTCTGTTCACACTTTTGGAATAGTCGCTCCATAATCTTGAAGAAATGCCTAATATAAGCATAACAACCGGTCAACAGAAAAAGAAGCCGCAAGGGACCATTTTGAGGACAGGATCAGCGGCAATTTGGCAGAGATTGTCAGGGCGAACAGCTAGCTCATAGCCTCAACTAATAAGCCCAAACAACAGCAAGAGATGCTACTAGTAACTGGCCACTCTAACATCGTGAGACTTGTCCAACTAAGTAATTATTTTTCCTATTTTCCCGTACAATTCAGCCCTTCGGTTCGAAAGTAAGCGGCTCCATAATCTCTCGATACAGAGTTCATACTACGCGCTAGAAACTAAAGTAGTCCTTGATAGAAAAGGGATACACGAGGTTACTATTAATCGGGCACCATTTGTGTCTGCTTTAGATGACAATCATCTGCCAAATTGCTCCACGAAATCCAATATTATGCGCGAATCGCATCGTGCTAATCCCTAGATAGGCAGGTCCAAGCCTTTCATAACAATTATTCGCCCACCTACATACCTATTTCAAGGATGTGTGAATATATACCCCAGTCTAGCATCAACTGAAGGATGCAGTTCGCAACTTCTAGACGATCGACGGTCTTGGCATGAGTTGCGGCGATATATTCGGGTTTCAGGGGTCGGGAATCATGCAAATAATACCTGTAAGAGACCATGTATACTCTTGCTCTGACGTAGTGCCAGCATATTCTCGCCATTTTTTGCCCCAACCGGCTGAATGGAGTTGGGATCCGGTCGTGATAAGTCGTAGATGTTGGCTGAGCCGACGGTCCGTCTGACCACTCTTTCTAGGATATGGCATCCACAAATAGCAGGTAGAATGAAGCGTCTTAAGCGAGCTATTCACCCAGTATCAACTCCAATTATCTGATGGATATGACGACGTTACGATGAGTGGGTGGATGAGAGGCTCAAGTGGTATTGAAGATCATTGATCCGAGGATTTCTCAAGGTGAGTTGATGTAAAATATATAAAAGGCATGAACATTCCTGCAGAGTAAAAAGATAATCCAGCCAAGGCAGTCTTTGGATCTACAATTCATCCATACAAGTCTACTTTTCACCTACTAATTCAATATGAAGTTCACAACTACCCAGTTTCTTGCTGCGCTTGGTTTTGCGAGCTATGCCGCAGCTGATTTTCACATCCTAACAGGACCATGCTCTATCGCCCCTGGATGGGGTGGCAGTCTTGAAGACTACGCCGTTGCCTGCCCTTCCAACTACTACAACTGCAAATGCATGCTAGATGGAGACCGTACCGGCCATGTCATTAATGGTGAAACACCAACATTCGGCATTCACCAAACTGGATCTAATTATTTCGAGCTTGACGGCATGTGTGGCGTGGGAAACATGAACTTTTATCTCCAGGGCGATGGTACATGGTTGTTCTACATTGCTGGAGGAGACGGCTCCGTGCAGGGTCAATGCTGGCCTGGTGATAACAGCATCACGGACTGCAACGAGTTCAGCGCGGCCTGCAGTTTGAGCAACATCTTGGTGTGCTATTCATACATTTGCGAACCATGAAAGGGATCAAGGATCTGCACTTGACACAAGGTCGATGGTGTTCTGATGAGCTGCTTTGGATATTTGCAAGTGCTCACGATGGAAAATGAGCGTGGGACTGGACCAGCTGGAGTATAAGTTGATTGGTCGGATGCGTCATTACTTGCTCATTGTATAAACTGTTAAATATCGAATACATGTGGTACATATAATTATGAGAATCCATGGAAATGATATAATCAAGTCAGAACACAGCCTGGTAATTGATATGAAGCTTGCTGTTCCCGAGATATATATAGAAAGACTAATGAATTCGGTATGACAATTGTGAGATTATATATGACCATTAAACGGCAAATAAACCTCATGTAATCATAAACTACTATAGGGTTCATCACTTTGGTCAGTATACACGCACCCAAAACTAACTGGTCCTCTGCATCGCAGTATTGCGAGACATTTCGTGGGCATAGTACATGTATTTTAGCGCTCTATGCGAGTTGATGAACTGCAATAGATAATCTTATAAGATTTGATGATTACTCACTCAATTGAACGACTAGAATTAAATCCTACCTAGATTAGGTCCGATCGGTAGCGGCCGATCGAACCGAACGTTAGAGACATGAGCCGTGATTGACAGCGGAACCCGCAGAGTCCGACAAATCAAATTCGAGGCCCATGAAACGGTCCAATATCCTAGCGAATTCGGCGAATATTCCACCCTGGTCAGAGTATGTGAGTCATTATGACTTACATTCATGCTTTCAGCACAAAGGTATCGTACTACATCAACTTTGCCCAAGTCGTGGAAATATTGTCATATTACGCAATTACTTCTCGAGGTACTTCCGTGGTAACCAATATTGCTTCGCTGTGCTTTGTGACTATTTGAAACCTGTAAGATCTTCGACTTACTTGGACGTTCTGCTCGGAACTGTTGCTGTCTATTCATCGGGCTCTCTAGCAAGCTCTATTACAGACTAGCCTTCGGCGCTCCCGGGGCCCCGGGGAAATGCTATCACTTTTTTCATGTAAATAATATGATCAATCATTTATTTCTGCATGTCGATCGTCGAGCCAGGGTCTCATCTCTTGTTCCTAGAACATCTAGTGTTCCTGCAGCTGGCAGAGCAGCATCCATAACTTGGTAGAGTTGAACCTCGGCTGGGGCAATATCTTAGCCTCCAAGATTCGGACTAATTAACCAGATCTTGCGCAAAAGCGGATCCGCCAGTTCCTGGCTAACGGACACTCTATTCGACCGAAATCTATTTTCTCAAAATTTGGCTACATTTGCAGAAGGTGGAGGTTTCCTAATTAGTTAGTTGTGTCCGCGTCCATGACTCGGCTTCGCCGTCTATGATGCCATTGGCGGACAATTGTTCCGTACAATATTCAATTCAGCCTCGGCTTGGAGTGTATGTCTACTATTAAGTCTCTTTGCTAGAAAAGAGAAGATTTTGCCTGCAACATTCTTCTCTTCACATTCTTTTCTAACTATAATTCTATTTTACAGCCTGTAAACGCACTACATCCATCATGTCCAAAACCATGCAGGCGTGGCAAGTAGCCGCTCCTGGATCTATCGAGGAAACCTTGAAGCTTCTCGACAATGCAGCGCAGCCAACAGGGCCCCTTCAAAACGGACAAGTTCTCGTCGAAGTTGTCAGTGCAGGCCTCAATCCTGCAGATTACAAGGTGCTCAGGTTGGGCCTCGCATCCAAAGCCATCACGACTTTTCCCAAAACACTAGGCATGGACCTCAGCGGCCGAGTTGTTTCGGTAGCAGATGATGTTACAGACACCAAGACGGGAGACGTTGTGTTGGTTCGCTTGGATCCTACCAAGGGCCCTGGGGCGCTCTCCCAATATGTAATCGCCAATCGCGCAGATTATGCAGTTTTACCGCCAAATTTCGATCTAGATCTTGCCGCCGGTGCGCCGACAACTGCTTTGACAGCATATCAGTCCATCAAGCCATACATCCAAACCGGCTCCAAGGTCTTTATTAACGGTGGATCTGGAGGTGTTGGCACCATTGGTATCCAGATTGCAAAAGCTCTCGGATGTCATGTCACAGTTTCTTGTTCTACGGCGAAAAAGGAGCTTTGTGAGCGAATCGGCGCGGATGAGATTATCGACTACAAGACCGGAGACGTCGTGGCGCAATTGAAACAAAACGGCATCATCTTTGACCACATTGTCGACAACGTCGGCTCTTCCTTTCCAGATCTTTACCACCAGGCGAGCCATTATCTTAAGCCAGAGGGAGCCTTTATACTGATTGGTGGTCCGGCATCTTTGAGCGGTGTCAAAAACGTCTTGACGGCAAAATTTCTTCCTTCGTTCTTGGGCGGAGGTAAACACCACTTCGTGCTGTACATGACGAAGAATGACCGTGATGACCTTGCGCAAGTTGCAAAGTGGTTGGCGGACGGGGTGATCAAAACTGTCATTGACTCGACGTTTGAGTTTACAGAGGCTCTGGAAGCCTTTGAGCATCTCAAGAAGGGCTCAAGTGGTGGAAAGGTGATTGTTCATGTTTCCAGCAAGGCGTGAGTCACGGTTGCAACGATACATATTTTCGCTACGTTCAACGAACAATTCCACTGTTCCTACGATGACAACGACACTTGAGCCGTAATTTATGGTAGCTATCCATCATGGTTACAGCTGGCTTTGCCGCCTATATGATAGCAATGTTTAGCCGGAACCACTTCATCTACGGTATTGCTCAGCAACTTTCTACATCAGATTTAGTCGATAAATCATAATTAGGATATTTTCCCGGAGAGATAGGAAATGCACGAGATACCATTTAATTGGCCCGGTTATTATTTATTATTCAAGAAGTACTTATAAGCGTTGGAAATGGACTACTTTTCGCTTGATTGGACTCTCATCCACCAACTCTTCCTTTTTTTGAACCGGTGCGGCCTAAATGTGAAAAGCAGAGCTTTTGATCTCATCATCGGCCGCCTCTCCAAATGTTCCCCCATATCCATTCTCTTCAAGGTACGCACGGAACCGGGCATCTTCGCTTTCAAGGTCCTTCTCTTTGTCAGGGATCAAGAACCATGTAACAAGACAACCAACCATGGCAAATGCGGCACCGATAAGAAAGACTCCCTGAACTCCCTTTTGCGAATCAGAAAAAGAGTTTTGAATGGGTGTAAAAACTTGGGTCCCAATCGCAGCACCTGCTTTTCCAACGGCAGCGGCAAGGCCAAGAAAGTGGCCTCTCACTGGCGTTGGGAAGGATTCAGCTCCGCAGAGAAAAGTGCCAACCTGGGAAATTTTAGTCTCACTGCGAGCATGTTCAGATTGCGAATATGGGATATACGTACTCCTGGGCCCATTTCTCCAAGAGTATTGAAGATTCCATACAAGACGACAAAGAGCGGGAATACACTCGTGATGGGGTTGAGAGCGCCTCCAATGATGAAGGCGAGGATCGACCAGAGACAGAAACCCAGTGCCATGGTTTGCTTGCGGCCAATATTGTCCATGAGAAGACCACCAATGAGAGTTCCAGGAAGGTAAAAGCAGTTGAGAACAGTGCCATAGCCGATGTTTTGGACGAGAGTGTTGTTGGGGTTCAGGGTTCCGATGATGGTGGAACCAAAGATTCCAAACGGATAAGTCTGGTGGAAAGAGGTTATTTCTTCTTCATTTTACACTTTCCAAAGGTATGAAGGTTTACTTACAACAAAATCGTAGAAGAACCACGCCAGAGATGTTCCAAGCATGGGTCTCCAATAGCGCTTAATCACTAGCCAGTATGGGATGTGCGTCTTCATAGCATGCTTCTTATACTGCGTTGAGTTGATCAAGCGAAGACGGAAGAACAAGAGTCCAACGGGGAGAATGAAGCCGAGACCGAAAGAGACACGCCACACGCCATCGTTGATATGCTGATGGTAGGCTGCGAGGATAATTAGCACGATGACACCGGCCATCACAAATCCCAGATCAATGGCGAAATCAGTGGCGACAGCGACGAGCATACCGCGCCGCCGCCGCACAAAGGCAGTTTCATCTGAAGCTTCGGCACTGCCAGTACCGCAAGTGGGATATTCTCCTATTATCGCGAATCTCATCAGTGACTGATCTTTCTATTCATGCTGAAGTCGAGACATGAGACTCACCTCCCGCTCCGAACCCGGTAATACTACGACCAATAATCATCATCCAGAACATGCCAGTGGGGGTTTTGCCATGCGCCGCAGTAGCCAGTACGATACCCAAGATCAAAAACAGAGTTGCAAAGAAGATACCAGTGCGGCGACCAAGTTTATCAATTCCCCAGCCAAAGAATAACATGCCAAACACTTCACCAATGAGAAAAGCATTGGATAATCTGGTCTTAATGGTCGAAGTGAATGCATCTGGATACAGCTCCGCAAAGAGAGGATTCATATATCCGATAACCTGTGCATTGTAACCGTCTGAGAAAAGGGCCAAGCCGCCAACAAGGACCATCAAGATTGACGAGACGCGGCTGCTGCGTGATAGCGTGCTTGGCTGAGCGACAACATCTTTGTTGGAGTCGATGGTTGGTTCAAGAGTTGGCGATACAGCCACTTCATCGACCTGAGCAGTCTTGGGATCCATCCTTGCTATTTGTTGTAAATAAATTTCCTAAGATGTTAAACAGCGAGAACAAAAAAGGATGTGAGCGAAGAATTTTATTTTCCCTCACTATCTTGTCTCAGTTAAGGTTCACACTCAACTGGGGACTTCCACTTTTATGCAATGTAACTTTATATGTGGCAGACTACAACAAGATTAATTCGCCGATGAACCCGCCTGTTATCTCTGGATCATGCACGTGAATAGATGCTGCTGCAAATCGTTGGTGAACTTTTGCTCAACTCATATCAAGAGGGCATATTAGCAGTAAATCTTGATAGAACCATAGGAAAAGGGCAAACTACTACTAGGAACTGACATCTTCACAAACGCAAAAGTCCAAATCTCATCCACTGGAGATTTCACCATGGCGACACACTGGATCACTCGTGAGCTTTCTGGTTCCCACGTGTGTGAGTTGACGAGAGGTCATTTCTGGCCGCAGGTTTGTCAGTTATACCCCTGCCTTTCATCAGGATTCTGGCCATCTGCCTCGCGATTGGTGTTGTATCGACTCGAGAAGTTGTGCCTCGTGCCGATCGGCCGACAGCGGCACCCACGTGCGCCGAGATCATCGCTTGATTCATCGGGAGGCGCACCGGCAGCCCTCCAGTATGTCCAGTTTCGGCATCTTAGCCACTTTGTGGGGTGGTCCGTAATCCCACAAGCTTCTCGACGTGGATCCTGGAAGAGACGATCTCCGTCGGCTAGGGAGAGCATTCCCGTAAGCGAAATGCTAGCTTTAGCGGGAAAATTCCGAGTATACGATGTAAGTTGTTCGTGTAAGAAGAAGGGCGAGCGGAACAAAGAGGAGGAGTTGGGGGTTACAAAGAGCTGGTCAATTCTATGCAGGTTCTGCTATCCATGTCATTTCTCATTTATCTAGAGTACATCGTGTCACTATGTTGTCAGCTGAACAGATGGCCTTATTCAAGGCGAATGGCTCTCTCATCGTTCGAGATATCTTCAATGATGCCGAGACTGCTGAAGTACAGAAGTGGGCGCAGGAAGTCCACGACTGGACGCCAACTGCTGATTCTCATTTCATGCCCTATGAGGTGAGATGACCTTAGCATGCCAACTCATGTTGTTTGTATCTGGTGTTTTAGAGGCGTATTCACAATAATGAATAGGAGATAAATTTTCGTGGAGAGACGGTTCTTTGCCGTGCAGAAAACTACGCCGATAGCCACGAGGGGCTCAATGAACTCCTCCGCGGCGAAAGACTCTTGGGGCTTCTGGAGGAAATTTCAGGAGAGCCCATGTAACTTTTCAGAGAGAAAATTAATTATAAGCTCGCAGGAAGTGGTATGTGTTTGTGGTTTTTGCGAGAATGTAGCTAGATGGCTAATTTAAGTAGGTGGATTTGCGCCGCGTATTAATGCCGTGGCTTACAATCACATTAAAGATGTGAAGCATCTCACCATCTTGCTTGCTGTTGACAAATCGACCCTGGACAACGGAGGCCTGGAGGTTGTTGATGCTAGCCACAACATGGATATTCCCCTCGATGTTGAAGATCACTGCATCACCAATGAGTGGGTTGACTCCATGAGTGGAAGCCCGTTGAGCTCGAGCCTGGTAAGCGAAGTTGTCTAGCCTTGAATTATGATTTTACTTCCTGTATCCGACACTTTCTGACATTTTTACCAGGCCAGTTGCTCATTTTCACTTCATACCTGGCTCACCGCAGCGGGCCCAACCATAGCAGTGAAAACCGCAAAGCGCTCTATGCTACGTATAACCGTCCCAGTGAAGGTGATTTGCATCAGGATTACTATGAACTGAGGAAGAAAGAGTGGCCCGCTACTCACATGCGTGAGGAGGGAGAGCCATAGATGGAGCTTTGAGATATGCTTTTGGATCGCCGATGCTGAGCGTTGATGCCGGTCGCCAGCTGGCTTTCTAGACATAGAATTTACAAAGAATCCGGTTAGCTCTTGGAAGAATATTTGCGTAAATATTGAGTTCCTATTACTCTGAAGATGGTGATGTTTTGTAGGAGCCGACAAAGTGAATGCCATGTACGCTTGGGCTTCACTTAAACGATGGTTCCTCAAGTCCTCTCAAAAGATTTCATATAAACTGGCTTCCTGCGGGTCATTCTTCAAAGTCGATTCCTGGGCTAGATCTTGTGTAACAAGATATGATCCATCCACGTGCTGACTGCATTATGCCGAGTGGACGATCTATCCACGTGTTAATACATGAAAGATTGGGGGGTAGAGATATGGAGCGAACACTCCTGTATCTCATATAGCCGATATAGTGCTTACCCACAGATAATATGTGCATGAGTGCTGTATATCTAATGCGTCCCAGTCGTCTGCATACTGGAGACCGATATCCAGACCAGCCTTACTACCTGTCGTCACTTTCATTATCAAAATGGCCATCCCTGCAACCCTTGAGCCAGAGGCTGTCACCTCTTACATAATTTCCCTTCTTCAAGACTCAGACTACACCCTTACATCGGCGAGCCAATCTCTCAGCTGCAGCATTCCATGCAATGTGCTGCGTTAGCCGCCGAAGCCTCTCCTGCCGTGGATGAAGCTACACAGGTTGCTGCGCTACTCCATGATGTTGGGCAGTTTGCTCCTGCAGATGACTTGATTGCCTTGGCAAGTCTTCCGATTCAAAATTTGGGAGATGCTCCGACTACACAGAGCGTTGGACGCGTCGGCCATGAGACTCTGGGAGCCCGCCTCCTGCTCTCACTGGGCTTCTCTGATAAAGTCGCTCGCCTGGTGGAATCGCACGTAGCAGCCAAACGCTATTTATGTGCCGTAGATGAGACTTATAACGACTTACTCTCAAAAGCAAGTAAAAAGAGCCTATTTTACCAAGGCGGGCCGATGTCTTCAGAGGAGGTAAAGGAGTTCAGCTCAGGTCCGTGGTGCCAGGAAATGTGCCAGCTCAGGAAGTGGGACGACGAGGCAAAGGTGGAAGGACTCGTAGTAAGAGATTTGGAGAGTTGGAAAGAGGCAATCCAGAGGCAGATTGAGCGAAGATAAAAAATTGTATCAGAAGAAATGTTTTGCATACAATACCATACGACATTCATCCAATAGATATTGCCACCGTATTCACACATGAAATTTGCCACAAGAGATATAGTTACAGTTTTACCACTTTTATTGTTTACGTACAGCTCGATGCTTTAATTTTAAATACATTCTGGTCGTACAAGTCTTCAGATTGTGACATCAAACATTGAGCGGCATCAAATAATTTTCTTTGCGCCAAGCTTCAGACTTACAAGCGAGGTTTGGAGCCAGACTCCTTGGGAAGGTCAAAGCGATCCAGGTTGGAGACCTTTGTCCAAGCAGTGACAAAGTCGTTGACAAACTTCTGGCTGCCATCGGAGCTGCCGTACACTTCGGAGACGGCACGCAGCTCAGGGTGAGAGCCGAAGATGAGGTCAACGCGGGTACCAGTCCATTTCTTGGCACCGCTCTTGCGGTCACTGCCCTCGAAGAGGTCGCTGTCAGATGAGTTGGCCTTCCAGACGGTTCCCATGTCCAAGAGGTTGACAAAGAAGTCGTTGGTCAGAGCTCCAGGACGGTTGGTGAAGACACCGTGAGTTGATCCGTCAAAGTTGGTGCCCAGAACACGCAGACCGCCAACAAGAACAGTCAGCTCAGGAACAGAGAGGGTGAGAAGATGTGCCCTGTCAACCAGGAAGTGCTCCAGCTTGACTCTTGGAGTCGACTTGCCGTAGTTGCGGAAGCCATCGGCAATGGGCTCGAGGTAGCCAACTGACTCAACATCAGTCTGCTCCTGAGTAGCGTCGTTGCGACCAGGAGTAAAGGGGACGGTGATGTTGTGTCCCGCATCCTTGGCAGCCTTCTCAATAGCAGCAGCTCCCGCCAGGACAATCAGGTCAGCAAGAGATACCTTCTTGTCACCCTGGGAGCTGTTGAAGCTCTGCTGAATCTTTTCCAGGGCCTGCAGAACCTCGGCCAGCTGAGGAGGGTTGTTGACCTTCCAGTCCTTCTGCGGTGACAGGCGGATACGAGCACCGTTGGCACCACCACGCTTGTCGCTGCCTCGGAAGGTCGAAGCAGACGCCCATGCGGTGGAAACAAGCTTGGATGGTGACACTCCGGATGCCAAGATCTGGCTCTTGAGCGTAGCAATGTCGCTGTCGTTGACAAGAGTGTAGTTGACGGCGGGGATGGGGTCTTGCCAGGAGAATTCCTCCTTGGGGATTTCAGGGCCAACGTATCGGCTGAGAGGTCCCATGTCACGGTGTGTCAGCTTGAACCAGGCCTTGGCAAAAGCTTCAGCGAACTGATCTTGGTTCGCCAAGAAACGACGAGAGATCTTCTCGTACTCGGGGTCAAAACGCAGAGACAGATCGGTGGTCAACATGGTAGGCAGCAGCTTCTTGGAAGAATCAAAAGCGTGGGGAATGATGGGCTCGGCGTTCTTCGCCACCCACTGCTTGGCACCGGCAGGGCTTGTGGTGAGCTCCCATTCATACTTGAATAGGTACTCGAAGAACTGGTTGCTCCACTGAGTTGGAGTCTTGGTCCAGGTCACCTCAAGACCACTGGTGATGGCATCCGCACCCTTTCCAGAGTTGAAGGAGCTGACCCAGCCGAGTCCTTGGTTCTCGAGGGGGGCAGCGAAGGGCTCTGGGCCAACATGGCTTGAAGGACCGGCACCGTGAGTCTTACCGAAGGTGTGGCCACCAGCAATAAGAGCGACGGTCTCTTCGTCATTCATGGCCATGCGGGCAAAAGTAACACGGATGTCCCGAGCGGCAGCCAGAATATCGGCGCTGGCATCAGGACCCTCTGGGTTGACGTAAATCAGACCCATGTGTGACTAAACGCGCCGTATCATTAGTTGAATGTTCGCTGGGGCCAAACCTAGATGGGGAAAAAAAAGGAAAACATACAGCACTAAGGGGAGACTCCAGGTCGCGAGAGTGAATGTCTTTGTGTTTCTTTTCGTCGGTGTTGAGAACGCCGTGGCCTGAGCCGCCAGGGCCTGCGAAACCGTGGGAATATCGAACATCGTTGCCGAGCCATGTGGTTTCGCCACCCCAGTAGACAGACTCGTCGGCTTCCCAGGTGTCTGAACGGCCGCCAGCAAATCCAAGCGTCTTGAATCCCATGGACTCGAGAGCAACGTTGCCAGACAGAATGAAGAGATCAGCCCATGACAGCTTGTTGCCATACTTTTGCTTGATGGGCCACAGCAGACGGCGGCCCTTGTCCAAGCTCACGTTGTCGGGCCAACTGTTGAGTGGTGCGAATCGTTGTTGGCCCTGTTAGATGGGACATCAGGTCAGCTACACATGTTCAAGGTGTTGACCAAAACGACAACATTGAAGGTTGCTTACCTGGCCACCACCGCCGCGACCATCAAAGACACGGTATGTACCAGCGCTGTGCCACGCAAGACGAATAAAGAGACCTCCGTAGTGGCCGAAATCAGCAGGCCACCAGTCTTGGGAATCAGTCATAAGGGCTGTAAGGTCCTTCTTGACAGCGGCATAGTCAAGAGACTTGAAAGCAGTGGGGTAGTCAAAGTCGGCTCCAAGAGGGTTCGTCACATGTGTGTGCTGGCGAAGAATGTTGAGCTTGAGAGACTCGGGCCACCAATCCTTGTTTCTGGTTCCGCCGCCCGCGGCGTTGAGGTGGTTCACGGGACACTTGGCCTCGCCCATTGTTGCTGTCTGTAACTGCTAGCAAACGAAGAGGGATTGACAACAGTAGAGGGTATAGTATAGATCAAGTTTTTGTCACTTCCAGAAGCAAAACTTGTCGAGACTACTCAAGAAGGTTGTGAGAAGAAAGAAAACAAAAAAGTCTAAGAGGCGAGAGAAAGGCAAAAAAGAGGAGATCAGAACATATAAAAACGCCAAGCGAAGAGGAGAGAATTGGAGAGGGGTTGCGGACAACCCCGCGTTGTCTCACGGCCAAGTCGCATGCCATCGGGCTTCCGACATGTCGCGATTGCGCTGCTCTCAATCCTCATCTGGATCTGCGGTGAAACGCTATTGACGGCGGTTGTGTCATCGCCTGCTTGTCTGACGAACCGCCGCCTCGCAATTTCAAAGGCCCACGTCTTTTCTAGCTCTTGGGCCGGCATCCAAGTGGACAAGCGGGGTTGATGGTGGAGGGGAAGTTTTAAGACGGGGGCAACTTTGTTCGCGGATTGGCCACTCTGCCTGGCTTCGGATGCTACTTTCCGAGCTTTCGGGCGTTGGAGAGCAGCTTGGCTGTTGGTGAGCTCTCGGTACTTTGTGTGTTAGCTAGCCCAAGTTGGTATTACCGAGCGATAGTTGTGTCCAGCGCTTATACGAAAGAGTAGCTGTTCGGCATTGTTAGCCCAAAGAGTAACGTAGAACCTCGCAAAACTCGTTTGTGGGTCGGTCTACATGTATAGAATAAGGGAGTATGCTAACTTGAGAGAGTTAGCCTATTACTTCTTGCGATTAAGCTTGGTATAACTTTGGGGACAGGTATGTGCATCTGCAGAGACATAATGAGCAATAGGCTATACTAGCAGCCGAGTGTGTCCTCTTACAGTAGTTGCCAGCGACTCAGTACGGAGGAGAATCCCCCGCGAGATGCGAGTTGTTGGACATTCGGGCTTTCATTCTCCGCTTAGATTTACACTCGACGTAATTGGCCAAAGCTCATTCGTTCAAAGAGACAACTTCGACTGCTTTTGGGCGTATACAACTTTCTAGAGTTGCTACAGAGGGGGGCATAGCACTCTATGTGATGCGTTCTGACTGGCCTTGGGGACAACTTGAGCGCTACATATGACTTTGTATCAAACGATATCGCAACCAATAAAAATAGCCAGGAAGCGGCACGAGATTCATTCATGGGGGGGATTGCACCATCTGCTCACAGTTAGTTTTATACATTCTCGCCATTCACAGAATCTCGTATCCTTCGATGAGCGTCATGTGATGAACCGTACACGCTTCGGTCTGAGAGCCATGATGCTAAAACTTGCATGTAAGCATGCATGCGAATCATTAGCACTGCGATGACAATGCATGCAGCGTTTGCGTATGCAGGGGTCCACCGATTGCCGCTCTGAATATAATAACAATATAGTATATACATGCAGCGACCGAATCCTTGACCATTGTTACAATTGACAGCAGTAAATGTACTCCCTCTCTGTCTCTCATCTAGACTAATTCCCCAAGTCGTCCAACGTGTAGCTTCAATTGGCCCACATAGCTGTCCCACATGTGTTCTATTGCCTTGTTCGGGATAAATACAGCGTCTAGGCGTCAAGGGCGGTGCGCGCGCATCCCAGCCGCCAGCGGCTGCAAGTAGGTATCAAGTTGTTTCTCGATATAATTGAACGAACATTACTCGAGATACGTGTCCAGGGCGGGAAGATATCGCTGTAGGAATTTGAAAGCCGCTACGTAGGGAATAAGGATAAGAATTACACTTCACCATCACCGACAAGGACTATGTCTCTGTTCTAAAGCGTCAATAGCTACCTGCGTCAATGCAACTGTAGTGGCGCCACCGAGAGGTGCTTACCTATACTTCCAAGTTGTAAATGAGCGCCCATTGCACGGCTACTTATACTCACATAAAAAGGCGATACAACGTTTCAAACATCTCAGTAGGTAGTACGACTTCATTAGGGCAACTTCTTGAGCATTTCTAAGAGCTAGTCAGTTTTACTCTGAATGAGCCTGGAGGCCATTCCATCGAGAAATAATACACAAGCGCCTCCAAAGAGTCCGATTGTAGCCAAGGCAGTGTTGACAGACATAGTGCCCTCTTTGAGTATGAAAGGCACAGAAATCTTTTCTACATAGTTGAATGGATAATAAAGTGGAGTTATGCAGCCAGAGCTCGTTCCGAATACAAAGAGAGAGGGCCTAACCAACTCCAAGCGTAGATCATAGCAAGTACATGTATTCTTCGTGAAATAATGACTTAGAAACCCCTGTTTACCAGAGTATATTTCATTTCATTGCCTCTCTTTGCCTCGTATTGCTTCTTTCATAGGCATGGAGAGATAATGTCTACTGTAGGTACAACACCGTCGTGTTACCCTATACAGAAAGCTTTTCCCTTCAATTTAGCGGACGTGTGTGTCTACTGTCATTTCAGGCTGCTCTTTCAAGACTAAACCGAGAGAAATAGAAAACAATTCAACCATATACGGAGGCAAAGGCAAATTGGCAGATCTTCTTGGACTTATTGGTATCTATATGAAGCTGATGATCCTTCTTCACGTGATTCTCAAACCGCTTGGATTTAGACCATTACGCGAGTCTGCGTGAATGGCTCCTCCTCACAGCGCTCTCTAGTCACATGTTGCTGTGCACCAAAGCAGCCGCCATCAGAAGCAGAGAATGCTTCCAGATAAACTACTTCTTCTTTTGCTAGACATCATCACTGCAATTCTGGTTGTTGGAATACTTGTGACAGGATATCTCACACTCGATAAATCACAATTCGGTCGAGGATCTTTCCCTGGATCCATACTCAGCCTGACGCGCTATTATCGGACGGACCCTTGTCGACCTCATGCGGACGGCGGTCTTCCCCATGGCGGCTGCATCCGCCTGGTACTGATCAACTCAACTGAGGATGGAGGTATTGCTTTGTCTTGGAATGTGTTTCCCTTGGCCGCAGCCCCTGCATACCACGCATTGAGCTACACGTGGGGATTTGCTCGCGGAGTACCTGAGCATGAAGATGCAGTGTTCCGCTATAAAGGTCAGGGTGGTGTTCCAATGTTCATGCCAAAAAATCTTCTTCTGGCCTTGAATCGCATTATCAAGTTGAATGAAGGGACGTACTATTGGATTGACTCCCTCTGCATCGACCAGGAGAATACGAGAGAGCGTAGTGAGCAGGTATCCATGATGAAGGAAATTTACGAACATGCTGCGGTCGTTGATGTCTGGCTTGGCCCAACTACGGACTCTGAAGCCAAAGCCCTTGATCGCGTGCTAGGTGATCTATCTGCCATGGCACAAACGTATGGAACCGCATGGACTACTGTGGTAAACGCATCAAGAAGCCTCTTCGTGCAATATCCACAACATCTGCTGTCAAAAGATGAATGGGACACACTGATCAGTTTCTTGTCGCGACGATGGTTTCACCGACTATGGACACTGCAAGAGTTCGCCTTGGCGAAAAAGATCAGGATCCTTTGTGGAGATCATTTCATAAACCAGGAGGACCTTCATAATGCAGCATTGTTTCTTCAAACACTTGGACTTACCATGGAATTGCAATATGGAAACAACGGGACCGCTGGTACAGCAGTTATGCAACAGAGCATACTCAGGGCATGCTTGGAGGATATGAATCAGCTCAAGAAATTTGCTTCGCAGATCCCAGGAGTGGCTGGCGATGAACACAGCGTGCCAGACTATGAATCTGTTTTGGCTTGGGTTTTTTGGCGCAGCGCAAATACCAATGCTACAGACCCGAGAGATTTTGTCTATGGAATTCTTGGCTTGGCGGAAGCAATCATGGTGCGCTTGTCTAACGTAACAAATGATGCCGATTCATCCATATCCTCATACAAGCCAATTATTCCAGATGATAGCCTTTCAACTGCCAGCGTCTTCCGAGCTTTCATTCTTCGTCTCATGCATAGTAAATTGGGTATCAGAGCCGTTGCGCTCATCACACCCGGGGTCCAAACTGGAGAGAAGCCTGGATATGAGCTTCAACGTCGAAGTGTTCCATCTTGGGTGGATATCAAGCGCGAATTACCTTCATGGGTTCCAAATTTTGCTAACCGGGAACAATTCTCTTTATCCAATGGTGGTGCTCTTTTCCTGAATAGCTCCAAGAGTGATTTCAGCATTCATGGGTCGGCCTCGGCCGTACATACACAACGCTTCCACGTCAAGGGCAATAACCTTCATGTTTTTGGCCAAAGATTGGGTATTTCAAGAGGGTCTTCAAGGTTCCCATCAGCTCTAGAGTGGGCACCGTGTGCTACCTTTTTGATGAACTTTTTTGGCCCCCTAAGCCTATTGGCATCAGAATATCCTGTCCGTTGCGCGGATAAGGAAGATAAGGAACTGTCTTCCAAACAGTTGTCGCCTGTGGAAGTATTCCTGCCCTGTATCTCTTTGGGATCTTGGCACCCTGGAAACAAATTCACATCTCTCAACGGCCCATCTTTGCCTGTATGGAAAGTTGAGAGATTCATTGTAGACGGTATATCTCAATATTTGTGTGTCCAGCTGGCGTCCGCTGCTGGAAATGAAACTGTTGACCACGTCCTTACTCAAGATACCTATGATATCATCTCGCGTGCACAGTCAATAAAGGGAATCGACGAGAAGTATATTTATGAGGCTTATAAGCGTTCAAAGATGCCCTCACGAATACTTGACAAACACGACTTCCTCGGCTGTATCCGTGAAAATGATGAAGTAACCGACTTTTCACAAACTTGTTCACACCTTATTCGTCAATTTCAATGGGCAAGAGGAAGGGCTCTGTTTGCGATGCAGTTAGACGATGAGTACGTCGAAAGATTCTTTACTTGTTCTGGAGCCGGTAACGGGCAAGAAGTAACGACGATGCTTCTCGGGCTCGGCCCCGAGAGAATGAGAAAATAAGACGAAGTATGGGCGATCCAGGGGTCAGAATGGCCATTTTTGCTCCGTCCTCTCTACATCGATGAAGAAAGAAAGCTACCCGTGAAGGATATGTCATTTGAAGAAAAGAGAGGAGATTGGTGGACTCAAGTAGATAAGAGCACTCATCCAATTAAGGTATATGAATTGATAGGAGAAGTGTATGTGCATGGTATCATGCATGGTGAGCTCTTTGATCATGAACATGAGATATCCGATTTTGAGGAGATTGCTATACGTTAAATAGCGAGCTTTCTCTTGTCATTACAATATTGTTAAATAGCAATAAGAGATAGGCCAGATAGTGTAGATTTATCCTGTATAATTTGCTTCATATCTGCAAGATAGTAGAAATTACATATGCTGAAGTGATTCATGAGGTACTGATGTCGCTTATATGGTATATACATGACTAGTGATAAGGATCGAGCTTGATGCTATTTACGCGAAATGTGCCATCGACTATGCCTTTGGAGCTCCATGGGCAGCAAATTCAAGCCTCCAGACGGTATAAAAGAGTACCGAACCCGAGCTGATCATAACCACCGCTGTTCGGGCCATAGTCTCCGCCACCGCCCTCGGCTCCGCTTCCGTTGGACACAACTAGGTCACGATACTGCTTCGACCAAGATGCATTCAGACCTTTGAGGGATCCGTAATGGCCATAGATCAGCTCCCAGATCGGGCGGATATCACCTCGACTCGCATTACTGATGACGGTTTGAGTCACATCACTGTTGACGTAAGTGGTGTAAGGAACGTCGAAGCCGAGGTTGTACTTGGCTGCGTATTCGGCTCTAAGAAATCGACCTTGTTAGTATTGCTTCATCTTATGATATCGTAGAAGTCGAGAACATAAATCTCACCCAGCTAGGATTCTGTTAGACAGGTAACCGAACAAGTCATTTCCTTGGTTGTAAGCTTGCTGAGCAAGCACTCCCAGGAGCGCAAAATCTAGATTGGCGTGACCCTGGTCCCTTCCAGCTTCCTGGTTTTGCCCTAGGATCTTGCTGCTCCCCGATTCGGTGTATGTAACCCAAATGGTCTTCTGGATAGCCCCATTACCTGCACCACTCTTGAAATAGTTGACGGCTTCGTTTGCCATGGTGGTATTGTCGGATAAAACACTAATAGCATACATGGTGCAGAGGTTCGCCAGGTCCCAGTTGGCCCAGTAGTGGTCGGTTTTGGCACCATTGTGGTTAACTAAAAAGTCATGGTTCATAGGGTAGAACACCTTTTGAAGCATGGTATTCATGGCAGCAAGACCCGCCCAGCCAGAGTAGCCGCGGAGGATCTCAGCCGCATTAGCCAGCTGGTACCCATAGATGCCACTGGCGAGGAACTTGTCAGAGGAACCGTCGATGAAGGTGAGAGTGCTACTCCAAGCATCCAGTGTCTTCGCAGCAGCCGTGGCGTACGCCGTGTCTCCCGTGACTTTCCAGTAGATGGCGTTGGCATACGCAGAAGCTGCATCTCGATACAAGCTGGCATAATTTTCAGGCGAACCTGTGCCTCGATAAACGGTGGGCTTGGGGCTGGGAACATAGCCAGAGTTGGCGTGAGCCACCAATTTGTTCCAACCCGCATACCACGGATTCGTCTTGGAGTTAACCTTGGACTTGATACGGGTAAAGTCTGCTTCGGTGTGGAGGAGACCTGGGTGAACAAAACTAGCGCGGGAATCAAGGGGCTGAGAATCGACAGTAGACGAAGGCGCCGCTTGAGACAGATCGAATAGCGCGAGGCTACAGAGCAACGCCGCAACAAGTGAAGGCGCCATGTTCAGGGTTATGGAAAGCAGAAAAACTTTTGCTAGCGTTCAGAACGCACTGGTTGATGGGCGTTTAGGAACCTACTTCATTCAAGATGTTTGTTTCATTTATACTTGACAGCTATTCTTCGTCGACCGTAGACTTGCTCGTACATGGACTGAGTAGATGCAACCCCAGGATTCGTCTGAAAGCACATACCCAAACTCATCACCAGTCGTGACGAGCGCCCAGAAAACCCTGTGATAGTCAGTATCGGAGTGAGTTTCGGACCGCAGAAACTTGCAAACGAGCACCCCAGGTTACCCCGGACTACCCCGCGAAAAATCCAAAGAAACAGCACAGCATTATGGGGTAAACGACAAGGGTTTCTCGTGGGGTATGCGGTTTTACTGTTAGACCAAAGCTCCCATTGCAGCGGCAATACGTCCCTTGTTGCTATTGCTCAATTGCCGGGCCGAAAATGGAGCTGGTGGTGGTTCGATGGCTGATGCCGGGAATTGCTCCGGGACTTGACCCGGAGGCCGGCGCGTTACATACATTTGCGCTTATGTGTGCCGAGAGAGGGGACATTGTGGAGAAAGGAGGTTAAACAACACGAAAAAGTCGGTATTCAGCGTTTTGGGGTACAGGGATTATGGCTTAGCGAAGGTCGAAAGATTGATTGAACTTGATAATGTTGTCATTAATATCACCCCTGCCTGCAGTCGTTTGGGGCTCACTTCCCTCTTGCGTATGAGCGCTCTCTTCAACATCCCACACGTGGTGATAGATCTTCAGTCTCCCCACAGGCATCAAGATGGTTCTGCTTGGGTCGAGCTTTGCTTCAGTGGCAACAGCATTTGGGCTGTTGGTGAACATTGTCGTTGCCACTGGGCCGCTGAACGGGCTTCCTATCCTTAATGGACCTGTGCCGGTTGTCCCCCAAGTTTTTGGATCAAAAAAGCATGTCGGCGAGTTCATACATCCTGGACTCTGGCATACGCATGACGATCTCGAGCGCATCCGATTGGGAGTAGCGAAGGGCCAAGAGCCATGGAAATCGGCGTACGAGAAATTCAGTGCCGATTCCTTCTCCCAAGCCTCCGTAAGTTGGACACACTCATTTTGGACCTTCGTGAGGTTAATTTTTGACCTCAGTACACTATGCAAGGCCCAAAAAGCGTCATCTGCCGAGGTGGATGTAGCAATAACTACACAACCTTTAGCAACGATGTGCGCGCGGCATACCAAAATGCATTAATGTGGTATATCACGAAGAATCAGAGCCACTGGGACCGGTCAACAACGATTCTGGATGCTTGGGGCACAAATTTGACCTCGATCATTGGCACCGATACCTCACTTCTCGTCGGACTTGAAGGAGACATGTTTGCGAATGCGGCAGAGATCATGCGATGGGAAGGAGGCTGGATCGAGGCGGGAGCGAAAGCTTCAGGTGGAAGTGGATTCTCAAACCAACTGTATTGGTTGTTTGCAAGACAGTCAATCATTATTGGCCAGGCAAACTATGGCATGGTTAGCATCAAGGCCCTGCTGTCCTTTGCCGTTTACTTAGACGACGTGACGCTGGTGAGCCTCAACTTCCCAACTACAGGCGAGACGCGATGTCTGTGACTAACTAACAGGGATAGTACAATTATGCTGTATACGCCTTTCAGAACGATCTTTGTGCTGGAATATATGGCAATTTCCACCCAGAAACCGGACAAGGGGCAGAAACTGGTCGCGACCAAGGCCATGCGCAAGGCGCCTTGGGCTGGACTGCAGAAGCGGCTAGAATCATGCAATCTCAAGGAACGGATGTGTACTCGCTTGGAGACAATCTTCTACTCAAGGCTGCAGAATACACAGCCAAATACAACTTGGGATACGATGTGCCCTACGACCCCAAGTTCTACCGATGCGAGGCAATTCTGATCAATGGGCCGTGGGCTGTGCCATCCAACATCAGTCGGGGAGCCAAGCCACCGCCCAAAGTTTGGGATGTAAGTTTTACTTTCGATGGCACACTTCTCTGAGACTTGTATTGACCTTGATGCAGATTCTATATTACCAGTATGTCGTCAAACGAGGACTTCGCGCTCCTTATACGACTAAGATGAAGCTCACGATCAATGGCCTCGGGGGTGAAGGCAACCGTAAGTATAGTCGACATTGGCCGTCACACAAATTTTGGCTAACTTTATAAAATAGCCGGCACAACTAGCCCCGGTGACCATCCCAGCTGGGGTGATTTGATTTGGTCGTATAACAAGAAGGGTCAGTTCCTTAATGATAATGACAGGACTATCTGGGGAGGTGGCGAGATTGGGCCAAAGGGAAGAGGCATGATCAACTCAGCTTGAGCACAATAGTCTGTTGCGTAATAGAATAATTGTATATCTAATAAACGTACTAACACTGCCTTTTCTTCTCATCTTCTGTTCTTGTGAAAGTAGCAATAGGGTAAACTACGTACCACTTCGTAATAGATACAATGCATTACACCCTGTGGGACCATTACATATGAGTTTGAACATGCCTCTTGGGTAGTACATTAGTCGGTCTTTTTATTAGTTCTAACATTGGGAGATGCGGACTGTAATCTTTGATTGCCTTTGCACCATCGAATTCGACATGTGACAAGTCATAGACATCATTTGGCTACCACTGCTCTGAACACAATGAAAGTACATGAAACTGTAGAAGTTTGAACTCTTTGCTATATAATATCTAATTCCTGTATTATTTCTTGGAGAAGACCAGTACTTTCGTCTGGTTCAAAGCCACGTCTTTCAGCACGAGCTTATTACCTCCATGGTATCCTTGCTTTCCAGCCCAAACGTCTCGTACGGAATACTCGGATAGGCTAGACCCCTTCAACCCAGGCAATCCACCGAGAGGAATTGTGATGTCGGTGATGTTTGGACCATAGTTGAGAGCCAATACTACATAGCGTGACTTGCCAGAGGCAAGAGGCCCGCCCCAGACTTGGATCTTGTGCTCTGTCGATAGCTCGGGCAGGTAGTTGACCGCTACACCGGCGTCGTCCTGAGAGATTGCGATAATCTCTTTATTGAGTAAGATGTTTAGAGATGACTTGCTGATCGTGTTGATGTTGGCCCCAATGATTAGCGGTGACTTGAGTGCAGCCCAGAAAGAGAAATGGGTCTGCTCTTGGTATACGTTCATGGTGCCAGTACCAATCTCGAGCATGTCCATGTCGCCTAAGTCAAGTTAAAAGGAAATTCTCGACTATCGTATAGAGAAATATAACATACCCCATGAACCAGGTCTCTGGAATCGCGACAACTCCCGCATCTTGCGGATCATTGTCAGTACGCTGACCCCTGCATAGCCGGTATTCAGGCAGTAAGCAGATTGACAGACACCGCTACTATCTTCGCCGAATGCACTCTTAATGTCTCCAGAGATTCTGTAGCTATCTGTGAAGGATGCCCAGTGCCACGGAAACTGATTTCCCCATTGGCATAACGAGTAGAGGATGTCGCGGCCAGATCGGTTCAATGCATCGCCCATGCGCAGGAAACGTTCTTGAGGAGAGATTGTGCCCGCATGGAAGCCGCCACAGTTGTCATACTTGAGATAATCAATCTTCCATGACGCATAAGTAGCAGCATCTCGCTCCTCGTAACCGTAGCTTCCAGGGTAAAAGGCACAGTCATAAATGCCCGCGTCGCTTGAGCGACTTGGTGTTAGTAGTTGGCTGAGTCTCGGATGGATGCGCATCGCCCGCTCACCTGTATATTCCAATCTTAAGTCCTAGGCCGTGCACGAAATCTGCCAATGCTCTAATGCCGCTGGGGAACCTGGTAGAGTTTGGCTGCTGGCGACCCAGGGAGTCTCGTGTAAAGGCTTGCCACCCGTCGTCCAGGTTGACGTATTTGTAGCCAGCCCGTGCTAAGCCAGTGTCTTTCAGGCTCTTTGCGCTGGACTTGATCAATGTCTCATTTATATTGCTCTTGAATGTGTTCCAGGTGTTCCATCCTTGAGGAGTTTAGTCGTTTTTATCCATACCGAGTCGATGCTTTTGCTTACCCATCTGAGGCTTTGCTGGATTTACACTGCCCAAGCAAGGCACCGCTAGGAGTCCAACGAATAATGTTGTGGTCAACATTGTGGGCGCAAAGAACCGGCGTAAAAAAAGGAAAAAGAAAGGAACCTGTGATCGTAGAGTGTTAGATCTCTGACGGAGCTTTGAACTGTCTCCTCAAAGCTACCATATACCCCTACTTCTTCAGTAACCCTTCGTCATCTCTTGGCTCTGCTCATACTTGGACTACTGTCAACCCCGGATTTCTTCTTCCTGCACCGGGCCTGAGATTGCCCCGAGACAACCGAACTATGCTAAAGTCTGGGGCCTGAGTTAGTTCCAGACGCTTGAACCCTGTTCCGGAGCATCGTGCGGGGGATCACCGGGCGCAAAGCTCACCGATGTTGACAGTCCGACGCCGCCCCTGGTAGCCCCGGTCCGTCTCCATAAGCAGCACATTTGGGGTCAACCCCCGCCTAAAGACCTGCCTTCATCTGGAACCAACAGCCAGGTAAACGTGTGTTATCATCAATCTTTCTCATGCTGGGCAATTGAGAGAGAGCATAAAGTTTTCTTCAGCAAGAATGGTAAAGCTTCGCATGCTTTTCCTCTCCCTTTTGGGAGGTCTTGTCTCTGCGGACGTTGTTGACCAAGATCCTTTGGCATATTACCTCGCTCCATCTGGCACTTACATCCCTCCCAAAGATCCCGGCATCAACACACTACTCGACTTTGTCAAGTCAAGAGACGATCTGAGCATCCTAGCGACGGTGCTAAGCGAATGCGCTGGTATGCGTGCTTGACGTTTTTTCCCGCCGTTTATAATTGACGACTGACGACTGTACAGGCTTTGGCGAAGCTTTTGATACAGCTCCTTCTTGGTCGTACACTTTCTTTGCCCCTTCGGACACGGCTTTCAGAAATACGGGAGCGTACTACTCCACGTTTGCGGCTACCCCAAAGGGCAAATGGTGGCTGGGGAATCTACTACAGCACCATTACGTGCCGAATTCCCAGCTTATGGTCAAGAACTTTAACACCACATATACGCGCTTTCAGACAGGGACCTTTCTTTTTGTTGGAGCGCAGATCGTGGATGGGAATCTTACCCTGAATAAAGTGGCCAGGGTCACTGAAGCGGATATTCCCGTTACGAAGGTGAGGTAGTATTGAAACGTGACGAGACAAAATTAAGCATCTATGTTAACGGGTACATCATAGGGTATCGTTCACGTCATTGATCATTTGTTAGATCCTTCAGCGCAGATATTGGAAGCTGATCTGGGCAAAACCAGTCAGGGGTTCATACCCGGGAGCTGCTCAAACCCAGCATTGCCGTATTGTTGAGCTTCTCCTAGGTATGCAGCAGAAGGCTTGACGGATTGGACAAATGTAGAACAGCTAATGACGCCTTAACGGCTTGCTGCCCGCAAAAGGAATTCGTCAGAGGTGGCTAATGTGACTTTGCTAATTTCCAGTAGATACCAAGGTACTTTCGTTGGTGCTACTCATGATGCAATTCAAGTAGTTCAGATAATTGACCATGCTATGCTGTTTGTTTGTTATTCTGTTCGAAAACAGGCTTATGAGGTTCACAATACAATGATGGGCGTCCGAAAAGACTTAGAGACCTCTATGATACTTTTTGAATTATATATTATTGGTCATGCTTATATGGATTAGAAGATGGGAGGAAGCGTTGGCAATCATCTCTGTGTTTAGTACCAAGGTTGTTTCTACTCTGCGCGAATATGGGGCATCATCATGGCCACGAATGTTGGAGCCATCTTGGCAGCGACTTGTGTACAGGGTAAGCACCGTGGTCCTGTTTGGTTGGGATTTCAGACCATCTCCATCTACCTACTATAGGCAGTCAACAACGAGGCCGAATTTGCCCCTGCGATTCCTGCTGTTGGTCCATTTTCGCAACAATTCAATCTCGTTAGCTTCCATAACATGACTGCCGACAAGGAAGATGAGAATCGCCACGGGTCCAAGAATTTTGCTTGACGGCACCCCACTAGTAGATCTCGATTAGCTGCACTGCCGCCCGTACTGGAGGTACCTTAGCACTATACCTGTGGCGGGTTGGTGGGCTTAATACCATACTAAGGTTAGTACTACTAACCCAGCACCTCATTAACATTCAACTTCTCTAAACGCATCCATGCCTTACCCATCTCATATCTTGTGAATCATTTAGCTTTCAGCCATTGGTTCCCAAACATTTGTACCTTTTGGTCACGGCTCATGTGCTGTATATTTTGCTGCCTGAGGCAGCCACTGAGCATTTGCCTGCCTCATGCCTTGGCAGCTGCCCGCAACATTCAAGTTACCTCAACCAAACTCCCCAGCCAAGTCACTGCCGCTTCACCCACGTCTTCTCGCTTCCAATCTTCTAACCCTTTGCCTCCTTCATCTTCCAACATCTTGTCTTTATCCACCAAAATTGACATGGTCGCTGTTCTAGCGCGGCGATCCCTCCGGAAAGTCCAGTTGCCGCGGCCGGTGATGGTCATCGGCAAACAGCTCTACTCTAGCCTTCATCAGCAACCCGCACACTTCAAGCACCGCCCAGCAGCCTGTCAACCAACTCGAGTCAACTCGTTCAACCGACGCTCCATGGCTTCAGCCAGCTCCCATGAGAATTCAACTTCAACAGGCATGGACTGGGACGATCTCTCCGACGAGCGCAAAATCCAGTGCCTACTGAGCTCTGGCTCGAGCGAAGAAAAATGGGGCTGGGTCATCTACCGATGCAGCTACAAGCCGGAGCTCCAGAGTACCTGGGAAAGCTTCAAGCGTTTTGTCGATGCGACGACACGCAAAGAAATCGCTGCATCAGACGCTCCCGATATCGCCGACAAGCTAGACTGGGTCTTTGTCGAGGACCCCGAGCTCGAGGGTGCCTCGTTGGATCAACTGAAGCACAGGTTCAGGGCATGGGCGCGCTCCGAGGTTCAAGGAGAGTACGATATAGATTCTTCTCCTCATAATCGCGGTTCGAGGTACGCGTATTTTATCCAAGTGGACGAGGCCGCTCTGTTGAGCTTGGCTAGCGGTTTCTTGAATGGGTATGTGAATATTGTCCGGGGATGGGTGGATTCGCTGCCGCCTGAAGAGGCGACGGATGAGTTTGGTGATGCTATCGACATTGAGGACTGGATGAGGATCAAGTCAAGCATGGTTGCGCCTTATTTTTATATCGATCTGGATAACCCGGAAGATTGGTATGTGCATTATTCTCCACCGCCAGATGGCTTGTGTATATGGTAGCTGCGGAAGCTTGCGTTACAGGTTCCATTTCTTCTTTGCAATTTATGCCTACTATATGCTTGCTGTAATGCCACTAATCGTACATTCGCTGCGTTTCTTTCACTATATCTGAAGTTCGCCTTTACTGCAATGTGTGTAAGGGCAGATATAGCTCATGTTAAGCTGCAATTTACCAACTAAAATTAAATTATGCCAAGTGATAATTTCTTATAATTTCTTAAAGTAATATCAATCTCTATCTGTGAGCCACCTGTACATTAGACCCTCCCACTTAAATCACCGTCACGGAATAGGTCGGTTTCCCGGAGCATGACATCCCGCGGCATTTGGTAGGCAAGCCTATCCGTTTCAAAATGCAGGTAGCTCTTCAAGTGCGTTTTTTTTTTTTTTTTTTTTTTTTGAAATCCATACGTAATGGGCCCCAGCTAGAGAAGGACAGTGATTTCATCCCTTAAACACAATTGGCGACAGAATTATGCCACCCAGGCGTTGACATCGCGACAGTCAACTGAGTGGGATGTGCCCAACCATTTCCAGTACAAATTGCCCTTTTAGGAAATTGCCTGTTTCGATTCATTTTGTGGAGATTGCTGATTCCACAAGACTCAAACGCCCTGATTCCGCCTGCAGACTGCTTCGGTATTTACAACTATTCCGCGGAGTATGAACAGATGAACTGTTGCACTCACGGAGCCCAAGTCTATCCCTGCCAATATGGAAATTACTAACCCGATTTATCGTTGAATTTCCAAGTTAGGCTTTGCCATTCTGGTATCACTTCAACGAATGTGTGTTTCTTTGTACCTAGGAACAAGGGATCTCGTTATGAACAAGGTAGGAATCCCATAATGAGGATTTTGGTAAGAGGGAAAAATGTAGTAAATAGAGAGACAGAAATTCCACTATGTTGTGGTATATAAAAAGGTCCATCTGCAAAGGCAATATGCTCAGTTTGATATCCGCCCTCACACAGCTCCTCATACACACTCCGCCCAGGCTATCACAAACAAGGATAATCCAGATTCAAACCACCATGTCAACGCACCAAACAGCTCCAACGCAGTACATCATAGGTTCTGATGGTGTCAAATATGCATATCGCCGTATTGGCCCTTCAGAGGGTCTTCCTCTCGTAATGCATGGATTTTTTCGATCCAACATGGATTTCTGGGACCCAATCCTCATCAACAATCTTGTAGAGAAGCGGCCTGTGATTCTATTTGATCAGACCGGCGTGGGCCGTAGCAGCGGTACAATCCCTACGACATATCAGGGATGGGCAGACTGCCAAATTAATCTCACGAATGCCCTCGGTATCAATCGCTATGATGTTGCCGGCTTCTCAATGGGTGGGCTTTCCGCTCAATTAGTGGCATTGACAGTACCGCATATGGTCCGCAAGCTCATCTTGTTGGGGACTACTTCTGCAGCTCCTTACGAAGAGTCATCGGATATTGCTGGTATGGTTTGGCCGCGTGAAAAAGCACAGCCTGAGCCCATGGCTGTTCTTACAACATCTAAAAGCACTCCAGAAGAAATGCAGCATGCTATTGCATATTCATTCTTTTACCAGACCGATGCTGGCCGTGAGGCGGCGCAAGGATGGTGGGACCGTGTCAACGAACGAAAAGTCGACGGTGAGACCCCTCTCCTGGAGTTTGTTAACCCCGAGGGCACGGCTCGGCAAGTTGAGGCTGTGGTTCACTGGAACACGCCAGAAAAGAATGGTGCATATGATCGTCTCAGCGACCTGGAAATGCCGGTTCTAGTGATGAATGGTGATGATGACCTTCTTATACCACCAAGCCGTAGCTGGGAGTTGGCTAAGAAGATTCCCAACTCTCAGCTCATCATCTATCCCAAGGCTGGACATGGCTTCTTGTATCAGTATGCAAAGCTCACTGCTACCCACATCAACATGTTCTTGGATGGGTTTGGAGGCTTGCACGGAGACGAGTAGAGAGATGGCTGAATCGAACGAGATTGATATAAGGCAGAGATGATATAGACTTCTTCCTTGAACTATCTAGTTAATAAGGACCAAATGGCATTTGTATGTTTCCCATGTACAAACTCAATCCACATTATACTGTTCAGTTCCTTTTGAAAGGCATACTGGCCGTCCTTTCCTCTCATATCTTGTGATAAGAATTCGACAAGAGAGGAGACGAACCATTGCTTTTCGAGTGTTCCGTCTGCGACAGCTAGGCAGCCCATGAATAGCATCCATCTCGTCAAGCGCGTCGGCGTCAATAAACAGCCTTTCATATAAGACTGCAATTTCCCAACTAGAGTCGTTGAAGTCACAACGAATCGTTCAATTGTGCATGTTAGTGATTTAATGTATGGGGTAAGGCAGATTCGAAATGCGTTGTGACAGGCGCTCATATGCTGAGAGGTACACAGCAGTAGCCGCTGGAGAAGGCCAAAAACGGCCGAATCCATGTATTGGGGATTTAGTTTTGTCTGTCGCATCATAGCATCCTGAAGTGCGCCGCTAAGTGATGAGATGTCGCAGAATATGCTGACTAGATCCAAGCTTATTTCGCACGAGCACGGAAGCTTGGCCGGCACAATTGTATTCACTTGACCAGAGGAATCTCCAGTGATTTCGGCGAGGCCAGACAGGAGTTGGGTGTTTGGAATGTTATCAGAGTCTACCGCGATTTCAAGAATACCACTGTGAACTGTTAATACCCTGCTACCAATCGTGGGGCTTGTGCTCCCTTACCGGTACATCTTGGACCTAAGTGTCTCATTGATGCTGGATAGTCCTCCTCGAATGCTGACTAGCTCTGCTAGTCCTCAAGCGTGGGCCCATGATTTTTCGTGGTCGCCTAATGAATTCTAAAGAAGAGCTTCAGATAATTGCTCTAGCAGTCACCATACTGTCATGAGAGAGAGCTTACACTCCAATTAGCTAGACAGGCAATAGCGCCTAATGTCTCGTCAGTTTGCATATATCCTGTGGATATTCTATGATTCAGTCTCCGTAAGGCTTCGTTTAATAAGCTGTGGGAGTCTTGAAGATTGACGCTATTTCGGGTGATCTTTGCAAGAGTCCTCGCAGCGTATGACAGAATGATGCAGCGCCACACATCGTCCGCTAACATACGAGGGAACCAGTGTTGCTTGGCAGGATTGAACGATAAGAGTGATGACAGCGGATATGTATCAGTGGCGATGACATGGAAATCTGAAAGAAGCGTCAGCAATTTCGTAGTAGAGAATGGCAGTATTCACGAACAGTAATTGATATATAGAATGACATGCTGGGACAATGATGGAGGCATTCTATCCATGAAAGGTGGCATTGCAAAACTCAGAAGATCATGGTTAGAAGCTACATGTAGACTTGATACATGATCTTTTATGATTTGGTATTGATCACGATGCACTCGACTGGCATTTGTTGACTGCTTTAGTGGATGGCTCGAGGGTCGGCGAATTAGAGGCTTCTTTTGGATGCGAAGTGGCCGTATTTCTCTTTTCTTGTCGTTTCTTCTTTTATCGAGGCTGAGTTCCTTGCCTGTTGCAGTCGACAAACCGAAAATTTCCTTTCTTTGTATCCTCTCTCTTCCCTACTGATCCGGTTGAGGTAATCGCTATGCCGGTGGCCTGTAATTTCCTGGGCCGAGTCTGCCACTGAGAAATCCTACCGAGACTCGTTCCCTGGTGAATCTTGTGAACAAGATAGAGGGACTTATCCGGGAAAAGTATTTTCTCTCCGTTACCAGACATTGTGTCTTTTAATCAGTGAGAAATCGTCTACCTTGTATGGAGTCAAGTTTCCCGCATACACAGGGCGCAGCGACTGAGCAGGAGAGTGGAATTAATAGAAGTTGGATGATGGACAACTGTATGGACGAAGCACATCCACCCCAATTGACCCTTGTTCGGATGTGGGGGGGCAGCGGAGTCTCGCCATCTGCTTACTTATGTCGGTAGTTTTGAGAACTCAGTCTACCGAGGTTATCCAATAGACAGGTCTGGAACTTGGTGACATCTATTTGGGTTATGTTTATGATATCTCGGGTGATGCCGTATTTTATTGCTTGAACTGTAGGAACTATGACTCACGCTTTGTTTAAGATTGAGTTGCCGTATCAGGCTCCTCATGGCTCCTTATTCCACCATATGCAGCAAAACTGTGTAATATTACAACTAATTCCAACTAAACAAAGCGGTGCCAGATGTGGCATAACTATTGATCAACGGACTCTCGTCTTCCTGCAGTATTGCCTCTACTGATGGGTTGATTGGCATTACTTCTGGGCCCTTATGACCATGGTAGAATCCTTGTACCAATCCCAGGACCGGCTGGGTTCCAGATTCGCCAAGAGAGCTGTCCAATTGAACCTCCGGCAAAAGATATTCTGTCTCTAGGGCGGAAGTCACATTGATGTTCCGCTCTATCGAAATCCGAACCTTGAGTGCCAGCTCCTCGCAGGCGTGATAAACTTGTTGGAACTGCTTGTTTCTTAATTTTACAGCTATCGGCGCTAGTGATTGTATGGCGGCCTCGACAAGTCTCTGGTCTGTTACCAGCATCTCATGGTGAGGCTCAGTCAGATTGTTCACTATGAGTAGAAGAAGTCCCGTGATTCGACCGCATAGGGTGGACCTGTATATAACGACTGTCGTTAATGGCAGCTCAAATCTCCCATCCCTTACTTATCGTGGAAACTTACCAGATCAACGATTCGTTGGATATCGGCATACTATGCCAAAGCTTCATGCACGCCCGTGAAGAGCTAACCAGCTTGGACCAGGAACCTGGTAGAGATGGCTGTGGGCTTGCGATGGCACATCTGATCGGTTCTTCAATGATGATAGCGCTGCGTTGGAGGATAATCTGTATCCACTTCTGGTTGTGCGAATGAGCCCGATGTATCATGGCCGAGGCATGAAGATAGGTCCAGTGTAGGGAAGCCAGGTGTTGTACGGTCCCTGGCGGAGCAGTTTCGAGGAGAGAATCTGGCATGAACTCTCTTGGCAAGCTTTCCTCCCATTGATGGAGCGTACACTCGATTGACTGTACGAATTGTTCTTTCGCGGCAGACAACAGTTTATCCGCCGTCACCGAATACAGCCAATCGTATACCTTTCCCTGGATGATCCCAAGCTGTACTCGGAGGCGGAAGAAGTTTATCTTACTCGTCCCTTGGAGGCTATAGACGACGCCAGCGCCATCAATGGGATCAATTTCAGGCAGGTCGATATCTGTCCACGCATCGGAGAGTAGAGGCGGCTGCTGCGCACGTAAGCTGATACTTTTATCCAGGACGTAGGCGATCCAGAACAAGCGGTCGCGCTGTCTGACATCTGCCTGGCTAAGATGTTCTTGTCCCGACCGACTATAGAGTCTCAGTCTGTGTACTAATGTGACAGCCGTGGCGACCAAGACACTTGCAGGCTGAGGATCGGCTGATTCCTGGAAAAGGATACAGAGACCAAGAACAATTTGTGCGCTGAGTATGTCTTCTTCGCGAGTAACTATCTCGTCAAGGACCGACTGAGCATTCTTGACGAATGTTGCTACCGTCAGACCCCCTCCAGCACCAATATGTGGCTGGAGAAGTAAACCAAGCGCAAGAACGACATTAATAGCTGCCCAGGTAGCCGAACCACGCTGGTCTGGATTTGAGTACCAACCACGCAGCATCTGCATGAATTTTGTCTGGTCAAATAGAGGTAAGAGTCGATTATTAGATAGGAAGTACTCGTCCACGATAGGAAGAATGTCAGAGAGCGGTGGGAGAATCCGTTCATCTTCTCGCTCTTCACTTGACGGAAGGGCGTCTTGAACATCCTCAATAACCGATTCGATCTCCCCTCTCTGAGATAGGATGTCGATCTGCGTCTTCAGGCCCTCGAGCATCGACTCCATGCGGCCCATGCGAGCCTCGAGAGACTCAACTCTAGGGGCACTATAGACCATCAGCTTTAACATGCCCAATATCGGAGCCCTTTTCAGGAGTTTCCGCTCTTACGCATTGGCCCGCGGAACCGTCTTCCGCTGCACGCCATTATACACGCATTCCGACTCGTAGATCTGGCAATGAGAGCACCGCGGCTTTGCACCGTTGCAACGGATCTTCTTTTGGCAACATAAATCGCATGCCTACAGTCGGTTAGCTCAGTGAATGGTCAAGGAAGACAGGCTCTATGCCGCCTATTCCAAACAGGCCGGCGGGATAGCAGTACCTTTCTTCTTCCTCCTCTCCTCGAGGAAACAGCTGCCTCGGTAAAGTCTTTCATTCTTCAGGTCCCTGTCATTTACTCAGCAAATCACAAAGCAACACTTACAAACTCCCCGCGGGCATAGTCTATACATATAGTTTCCCTGCTCCTGACTTAATCACAGATGACCTGATTACACTAGCTGATTTTGCAAACTCCCCGCGGAGCTCGAGCGATGACAAAGCCGCCATTCCGCTGCCATCCCAGTCAACTAATTACAAAGTCCGCAACGCCAAAACACTATTTGCAACATGGATGATTACACCCATTTGTGCGATTCAGCCCGCCGTGCCGATGATATCCCATCAGCTGAAGTTTTTGTCGACCAGAGGCAGTCAGAATTACAGAACATAGTCCAAGACCTCAACTCCCCGTGGCATTCGAAATCCGACGGGATGCATCATCATGAAAATACTAGACTCTGGGTCGGCCCTAATAGGTGATCGTTCAAATTTCTGTATCTTATAAGAGGATGGCGAGACCGCAGCTTGTAGACTGTCGACCAAAGCAATTCAACCAGAGCTCTAGACATCACTTGCATCTTACACTTTAGAATCATAACCAGAATAAACAATCCTCTTGTCCACAATGGCTTCCGCACTTGATTCTCAAGTGGATATCGTGATCCCAGAGATGCCTTCTTTCACCAAAGGCTATCACCACCGTCCCTATCCTGCTATCTCGCCATCGCGGCCCGAGATCGCAGCTGCGGCAGCGGGGAAGAATATTGTCGTCACAGGCGGCGGTACAGGCATTGGTAAGGCTATTGCCATAGCCTTTGCGCAGGCTGGAGCCCGTTCTGTGGCTATCTTGGGTCGGCGAGCCGATCGGCTACAACAAACTGCGGCTGAGATGAAATCAGAGGCCGCCAAACATGGTCACTCGCCCATCATCGTCACAGAAGTGGTAGACCTGATGCGGCGCGAGACTGTAGACGACGCGCTACGATCCATCCAGTCCAAAATCAGCACTGCCGCAGGATCGACTTACCTCGACGTGCTTGTGTCCAATGCTGGCATGGCACCAAAGATGGGAGCGGTGCTAGGCTATGACGCCCAAATCATGATGAACACCTTCGGACTCAACGTGATGAGTGCCTTTAACGCAGTCAACGCATGGGCACCACTGGCCGGCGATAAGGCCGTGCTGATCAATGTGTCATCAATGATGGCACACGCGAGACCAGTGGTCACCAACTTTGCCTACTCAATGGCCAAGGCGGCCAATCTCAAGATGATGGACTATTTTGCTGCTGAAAATCCAACTATTCACGTGGTTAGCCTGCAGCCTGGTATCATCAATACGGAGCTCGGCGGCGATGATATGCCTGTCTTTGTTGCGCCGGACACAAGTGAGTCCTTCTTTTACAAGCCTTCTTTATTCATCTAATTGCTTTACATCGACTTTTCCCCCTACTCTAGACTATAGTCGCTGACAATGCTGCTTTCCAATAGCTGAGTTGCCAGGCCAGTTTTGCGCCTGGCTGTTAACGGACGAGGCACGGTTCCTCAAGAACAAGTTTGTATGGGCCAACTGGGACGTCGAGGATCTTGTGGCTCGTAAAGATGAGGTTCTCACGACTAGGGCACTTACATGGGGAGTTGAGGGAGTTCCTGTGTAATTGCATAGCTACTATATAATAGCCCATCGCTTTAAGACATAGATAAAGACAGATTCTATGTATCATGTTTCAATCAAAAGTCGTTCCTTGGATCTAATTGAAGCGTTATGAAAAGACAAGATGTATTAGTCAATAGAAGAAGAGTAGTCCATTTTCTAGACTAATTTACATTGACCAGTATAAACATGCGCCTCTGTGTCCAGGAGTAGTTAATATCGGCCTTAGCTAGGGATATCTCCGGAATCGTATCTCCGGAATGCAATGGTCTGCATCTAACTTAATAGCAGCCGGTAAAATGTCCTTTTACAACATAGTTTCCCTCAAATCCACGCTCACTCAATAATTATTCCTATCGATATGGATTTGACATTTATTGATAACAATAGTGTTATCGACAACAAAACAAGGTCCGTGATCCGTCGTCAAGCCGCCAAGGGACAAAACCTTGGCCGAAGGATCACTCGGCCATCACGTGTGAAAGCATTCGAACGCCAAGCCTTGGTACAGCCTCTCTTCGCTGTCAAGTCCAAACATGAGTCTTCAGACGTACATCAAGACGGCCGCGACGGGGACTCCAGCTCTCGTGGAGACGATGAGGATACGCCCTCGCGAATTGAGCCTGTCATAGGCGACAGTGTATCGGTTCTGAGCCTACCTATAGATATAGCGCAAGAAGACAGAGTGCTCATGTGCGAAGGTTAGTCGGCAGGAACTCTGGGCTAGCAAATTCCATGAGTTTCCTTGACTTATATTACGAGTAGCCGTGGCTTTTATGAACGCGCCTCGCTGCTTACCCAGTCTCAACAAAGCCTTTTCCGAAGGTAGCGTCGGTCACTCGATTTTTCTACAACTCATCTTTACGGACCAAGCATGTATGTCACGCTCCTCCGTTATATGCCGTCACACATAAGGTTAAATATCATGTGAAACGGGTAGACTATCATTGCGCCCTGGCCACAGTTCTCGAGTGCAACCACATCTCGCCACAGTCCGGCGTCTCCTCTATTCGCCACCTTACCCATGCCTTTCGTCTGATCAACGAGCGCATCTCCGGAGCAGAGCGGGTGTCTAATTCCACAATTGCCGTGGTCATGAGCTTATCGACCTACGAGTCTACGCGAGGCCGCTACGACCGTGGCATGATTCATCTCTCAGGTCTTTTTCGCATGGTCGAGACGCGAGGTGGCTTGGACCGCGTCGGGTCTGAAGAGCCTGAGATAATGCAGAAGATTTATAGGTACGCTAAATGTGCTGCGACTTCATTAAATATGGTGGTAACGCAAAGGTATAGAGCAGACCTTGACTATGCCCTCAGGTTTGGTGCTGCTCCCAAACTGAATATTAAGCTCTTTGAGAATTCGAAAGCTATGGAGAGGTTAAATGTGCTTTCAACTCGAGATCACGATATTCTTTACCTCAATCTCAACCCAGAATTTCGAGAGCAACTTGGCCTGGAGCTGTGCGAGCTCTGGAATAGTGCAGCCGAGATGTCTATGCTAGTCAACGAGGCGAGCGCAAACAAACGTTCCAAATTATCTAGAGCGAAGTTTTTGAGGAGCTATATCTGGCTTGGCCACCGTCTTCTCAACTATGCTTCGTTGAACAAGCCGCGCTCACTGAATCGCCTCCAAAGTATGGCACATTTAGGTCTCCTGATGCTGATCAGCTCTCTCCTATGCGGCCTCGACCGCCGCGTGGTAGAAAATGCAATCTTATCACAATTACTTCGTGACGAAGCAAGTAAAGTGACCAATTCTGAGACGCAAGAACTTCTGCTATGGTTGTTATTCTTGGGAGCGGCTGGCATCCTACAGGATCCTAGTCACGATATTTGGCTGGTCCCAAAGACTTGGGAGACGATGAGAGATCTTGGATTAGATACCTGGGACAGTATAAGAAGCGTTCTTTGGAAGTTTCCATGGATGAATGACTTTTACGAGAGCGGGTCTTCGGCGCTGTTTGCCAAGGTGACTCAATACCAATGTATTCAATTCTCTGTTTAGGAACCATCATGAAATCTTACATAGAAGACTATAATAATCATCACCACTCCCCTAAACACTTATTCTAGGGCTCTTGAGACACAACCTGGTTCGATTTTCTCGAGCTCTTTGGCAATGCTGTCCCAACCCTGCTTGTTCGCAGTGGCGTCCATCCAATCTGGTATCATGTCGCTGGAATATGTTAGCATACATTCAACTAGTATAAGAATAACCAAAATATTTATGAATACTTACTCAGCTGGAACACAGTCGTCCATATAGGAACCATGACTGTCCTCGCCCGCAACTGCTCCTGCAAGAAGGGTGCGACTACCACACTCTGCGGTTCGACCACACTGCTCCAACATCTTATTTAGAGAAGCCTTGAAATCTTCTGGTGCGTTCCGTGAGAGTGATGTTTCGCATAATCCGGGGTTGATGAGGTTGATAATGACCCCACCACGAGCCACTGGAAGTAATCTCGCGATCTCGCGGACAGCAAGGATTTCCATCATCTTCGATGCCGGGTAACTATGAAACTTTTAGTTAGTACTTGCAATCTAACAGTGTACTAAAGGACCTGGTCATCAACTACCTCTTCATGCCTAATTCGTCGTCTGCGTCCATGTTCACAATGGGATCACTGGCAATCTTGGACCAGTAATCCCCTAGGTCAAGGCCTGTACCGCTAGAGACAATGCTGAGGCGAGGGGAATATCCATATCTGGCTGAGTCGGAGCGCAATTTTGGAAGCAGAAGAATGGCCAAAAGGAAAGTGCTTATAACATTGACGGTCAATGTCAATTGATGGCCCTCCGGTTTCCCGCCCGATCCTGCAACGGCTGCATTCTCAATAACGGCATCGATACGCTCAAGTATGTCAACTGCTTTGGATGCAAATGCCCGGACGGATGCGTAGCTGGAGAGGTCCAGATGCCAGACCTCAGCAACGCCCTCGATTCCCGTCGAGGCCTCAATGTCCTTCTTGGCAGCGTCACCAGCCTCGAGGTTGCGTACTGCGAGAATGACTTTTGCTGCTCCTATGCCTACTAGATGACGTGCAGCCTCAAGTCCAAGACCAACATTGGCACCAGTGACAATATAGGTTCGGCCCGCGCAGAGTTCTTTGGAGATGTTAAGTGGGAGCTCGCGTTTCTGGACGAGAGCACGGTCGGTGGCAGACACAGCCATGTTGAGAACAGGATTTATGATGGTAAATTTAAACAAAGAATGCTCTCAAGGGAACAAAAAGTAGCACGATAATCGCCTTCAAGGTGTTGAGAAGCTGTTGCTGATGTTGTAGGAGAAAGACTAACAAGGGCTGGCTTCTTCCTCCGTTTTATAACAGTTCAACATGGCAGGATCGTATAGACATTGTAATACGCACCGGAATTTGCACAATCTCCGACTCTTCAGACTCTGCAAAGTCCACTGAAATATACTTCCATATCGTTTATTCGGTCTATATGGTATCACACGGCATATGAAGGCGAAGCGAGTACGCATAAGCAACCAATAGGAGAGCGGCATCCGTATTGGGTCTGGTCTGCGTCGTACTCATAGCCCACCAGCCAATAGGAGAGCGGCAGCCAAAAAGGGTAAGGGCCGCACGTAGTTGAAGAACAAGATACTAAAGGAAATGAAATCTATGATATTGAGAAACCGCAAGCAAAAGCTCCAAAGCTCAAAAGAATGAATATAGATAAAGCAAACAAGAAACTAAGCTGCCTTAAGCGCTCCGAGGCACAAAGTTAGCCAAAAGTACAATTGTCTAATATAAGTTTGAATGTCTAATCGACTATCAGTATTATATAAACTTGTTAAACTTGCTGTTTTTTACTAACCTCAAAGTCTTCTTTGTTATCCTCTTCTGAATCATGATCAAGAGAAATCTTAGCAAGATGTATCTTTTTCTTCTGTAAATTCAAGATTCCCTACAGTGCATTTAAACAGTTAGATATAAATATATACCGTCACACATTTTGTCGTTAATACCTTCTCGACTGTACCCTCTGTGATATATTTGAAAATCGTTACTGTTTGAGTCTGTCCAATCCTAAGCGCCCTGGCTATTGCTTGCTTTTCTAATGCGGGATTCCAGTGCGGTTCGACAATGTGCACTTGGCTTGCTTTGGTCAATGTTAGACTGTTGAGATTCTGTCAGCTTACCGAAAGTCATCCCAAACGTTCCAGAAAAAGTCATCATACCCAACAGCTCCTGAATTGATAGTCATAAGCAGGACTAATATTTGAGGGTTATGTTGAAACTTCGAAACATTCACTGTTCGTTCCGCAGGGCTAGTCCTGCCATCAATTCTGGAGAACAAGACGCCTCGTTCAGCAAGCAGGGCGCCAAGAATATCGATAGTATCCCTCCAGGACGTAAAGACAATACTACATATGATCAGTACCTGCTGTATGAGTATTTGTTAAACTGAATCGGAAGGGTTACCTCTTAGCTCCGGAGACACTGGAGCTACAAATGTTTTGGGTGACTATCATCAGCTTTGAGGAGTAACCGTCTGCAAGAGCACGAATAGGAGGAGAAAAATTTGGTGTGATTCTCTCATATCCCACTGAAGCAGATACATCTAAAGGAGGCTGTTGTGTGCATCGATCGTCTCCAAAGGATATAGGCGGGTCTAACCCCAAATGTTGGCGCCCAGGAGTTATCGGAAGAGAAAGCAACTGTCCGCATAATGGGCAATTGTGGATCCCATTCGGAAGCCCTTCTTCAGTCATATCACATAATTCACAGCCGTCACTCGTTCTGCTCTCTGGCTCTTTCCCCCTTGATAATCTCCACTGCCCAGAATACCCTGTGACAAGCGGTCCGTCAGGCCCGAGTCGGATTGTACCGTTATTGCACAGCCTTCGAAGCTTCATTATGGCGACAAATAGCGAAGCCTGCGTATTTAGGTCTGAATCTCCGCATATTCGCTTGTCAAACTCAATCTGACAACCTCTGAGGATGTTTTGGTATTCGGCTTTTTCTGCGGGGGACAGGTTGACTGAGATAATTTCGTATATTGGCTTCGGGATATCAAGGTACTCATCCCCTCTCCGGAGACAAACCGATCGAAGAAGAAGTCGTAGATTTCTCAAAGAGTCATCAGTTTCTTCTCGGATAGGACCTATGATATATTTATCGAAGAGCCTTGCAATTGATAGTGGGCCGTGGCGGAGAAACCTCAACATGGCTCGCAAATCATGAAGGTTGTTTTGTATAGGCGTCCCTGTCAAGCACCATCTTCTCTGGGCCTCGAGGGACTCTACCGCCTTGAATATTTGGGTGTCCTGATTCCTGACACAGTGTGCTGTTTTCGCTTAGCATGATGATCTACGACAGCTTTGCAGAAGGGAAAGAACAAGGATATGCATCACCTGGAATGCTTTTATGCTCAACTCACCTTCATCTAGCACAATCCGAAACCAAGAGAAGTCATGCAGAACCTTTTGGCCTTTCCAATCCGCAAGAATTGTGTGGTACGTCGTCAGTACGACATCGTACTGTAAGAGTTGATCGGACATCTTTGCGCGTTTGTCTCCATGGAAGTGACCAACTGTGAGAGCAAATGGGTCAAAACGGCTAGTAAATACCCATCCATTATTAGCTCGAAAGAGGAGAGCGGGTATGGAAGGAAGTATCGACAAATTACCTCTTGATCTCAATATCCCAAGAATCCAATACCTCTTGTTGCCATCGTTAGCTTAGACCAGTAACATTCTTCTGGATCTACACGATGACCTACGTCTCGAAGGCAAGACCACCAAAGTGGATTTGGTCACCTTAGGGGCGCCGTCTGCGGCCATACTACCACAGTAATATTCTGTGGCAGCTGCTTTTGTATATACAACTGCGCACAGCATTGTCAAGGTCTTTCCTAAGCCCATAACATCGGCAAGGATACCGCCTAGGCAAGGCGTCGAATTTTCGGAAACAAGGCAGCAGAGTTTGTAAGTAGAGGCCGAAAGATTGAAAGTTCATTTGTTCTTACCTGGAGTCGATGATACCTAAGAGGTCTCTGTTGGTCTTGTGGCAAAAACTCCAGTCTTCTCGACTTAGAATGAATTTTACACCGTCCAGCTGGTGACTAAAAGATGGAGATTCTGTCAGCAATAAAATACTTCGCTAAGAAGGCGCTAACGGTTTGACGTACTCCTTGAGATGGATGTTAGCTAGGTGATCGCCCAACAAATTCTCAACGCCTCTCTGCTGGGAGTCGGAGATCGTATCGACTCCCAAGGAGCTTAGAAGACTCTCTATGTCTTGTGAAATTCTTGTGGCTTTGAGATCGGACATTCTGGGGCCCACCAAATGACTCAAATCCGCCATTATATCGTCTGGATATAAGTAGTGGGGGTTCACGTATCGTATCCCACTCTCCAAGAAAACGGGGTGTTGTAAATAGGCCGAAACAGAGCCCAGTGTTTCTCCAACTCTTTCTGTAAACTCTTCAGGGCCATGAATGTTGATCGTGACATTGATTACGGGCTTCTTTGGCGTCGGCTTGTGAGGTATTCGGTCAAGTTCTCTGACAGAGATGACAGCATTGAAATAAAGATTCGGGATGTCGCGGAGCTTGTACAAATAGGAGACTGTTATCACGTCTAAGACTGCAAATTGTATCTCGGATGTGTTTGTTGACTGAACCAAGTAGTACTTGTCTTCGGAAAATTTGACTTTGACGGTATAGAATCTGGCCCAAGGAGGGCGAGAGAAATGCAGGCCAGCAACGAAACTTGACTGGGCCTTGGCGTCGAATAGCTATATCATGCGCGATTAGCCTCCTTTCTGAACCAAACGTGGTACGCATACTGTTCCATAACACATTGTTTCATTTTGATCGCATGTTACGACTTCATCCGTCTCTAAGCTTTCAAGGCATTCCGCGTTTCTCTCTAACGGGCTTTCGGTGCTTCTGTGACTGTCGATGCCATTTGTTGGGGCGCGAATGCGTTTCGCTGGACGCGTCGTCCAATCATCTGGAGCCTCTCTCCTTCTTAGTCGAGGGTTTTCCGACATCTCTCAATCACGGCGGAGGGTGTCAGTTGATCGAGGCACGAGATGTCTGGCCAACAGTTGAATGGCGAAGAAGAATTCAATTTCGAGCAAAGAGGGTGAAAAAGTTGAACCCCGACACGTGGTCTGATTCAATTGGATGAGTGGGCAAAGCGACGGGAGTTGCCTTGCAGGCCGCCTTACTGGGTTACAGTCTGTGTTGGCGATGCCAGCCCAATCGTAGGGGGGCTGAGCCTAAGGTGTATTTTCCATAGAGGCTGCACAGCCCTACCAGCCTCTCCCTTTTTCTTCCATACAATCTATGCTAATGATGATTACTGCATACCTCCGCCATTTCCTTTAAGACTCCAGCCCAGACTCATCTGTTTGTCCATCATTGTTTAACTGCCTTAGATACAGATCAAACGAATGTCATGATGGTAGACATTTCCAGTGAAAGTTTCACCCGCTCATTGGACAAGTTCAAACGCAACCTGACGGATGAGCAAAAACGTAACTTTTCGTCATGTAACATCACTGAGGTCAACAAAACTATGCAAGAGATCCAGGACAAAATTGGGCCGGACAAGAAGCTGCGGAATTTTACGCGACTGAAGAAATTTCTTGAGGGCATGAAGCAAGTGGAAGAACTCGTAACGATCTTCCTCAACGTCAGTGAGGTCGTTGCTTTCGTCTGGGTATGGCCTCCATTCTAGAATAGGTTCAGAGTTTTCTTTTCCGTCGCGTCTTTTACTGACAGGAAAATTCAGGGCCCCATCAAGCTTGCACTCATGGTAAGAGAAAAACTTCATCTTATCGTAGGACCTATGTTAATCTCGTCCATCTAGGTCGCCACCACGAGGATCAATACCTTGGAAATGCTGCTCGAAGTGTACCATGAGCTTGGCGAGGTTCTACACGGCGTCGGAAAATATGACCGGCTTTTCAAAAACCATCCAGACGCTCGAGAAATCCTTGAGACGTATTTCTACAGCATTCTTGAATTCCATCATGCCGTCCTCGAGGTGTTCGCGAGGCCAGGTAGGCCCAAGATTTCCCCTGAGTGCCAGCCAGAAGTTTAATCTATTTCCAGGCTGGAAACGACTCTTTGATTATGCTTGGTCGGCTTTCAAAACTCGGTTTAACCCTATCATCGACAACCTCAAGCGTCATAGGGCTCTGCTGTCCGATGAAAAGTTGACGGTTGTGATTGAAGAGATCCAGGAATCTCGAGACGTTGCGAACATTACGCAGCAGCAGCTGTCCAGTGATATAAAAAAACAGCTCGATGAGATCAAACAGTCTCTCAAAGAGAAAGACATTGAGAAGCGCGATTCTCTACTTAAGGAAAGACACCACCTCGTGACGAAGTTCGAGCCTCTGGAGTATAACGCGGATCAGCACAGGGCATATTCTCAGCGAGATGTTCCGTGCTCCGGTGATTGGATCCTAGAGGATCCAAGGTTCAAAAGTTGGGTTAACGGGGGCACTCAAAGTGTTTTATACTTGAATGGGATGCCTGGATCCGGTCAGCTCCAATCCTCCTTACAGATAGAAATCCAGAGAGTATCTAACCGCTTCAACTATAGGCAAGACAACATTGGTTTCACGGATCGTCGAGCATATGTTGTCCCACAGGAAGGACTTAAATGGAATTGTGACATTCTTTTACTTCGGGCGACGATCACAACATGGAAGCCACAAAACAGCCAACAGCATGCTTCGAGGCCTGTTAACTCAGATACTCGACCAGGATGATACCCTGCGGGAGTATATTTTCCATAGATGCTCCCATCTCAACAAACCCGACATTCATCGTGAGCCGTTTCTCCAAGAATTGGCAGAAGACTGCCTGTCGGGACAGCAACGCGTATGGATCATCCTTGATGGTCTAGATGACTGCGAAGGAGTGAGCGAGGTCGACCGGACCGAATCACGGCGAGTGCTCGAATGGTTCCAAAGCAAGATTTTGTCACGAAATACGACTCAGAATGGTTCAATTCGTCTATTGATCTTAGGTCAGAGAGATGGCCATATTGACCAAATGCTCTTTCAACATCCCGGGATCAACCTAGACGCAACAGAGTCACACATTAAAGATATTGAAACGTTTACAAGGTCAAAAGCGGCCTTGATTAGGACGAGATTTTCACTGGATCCATCGGCAGAGAGTCAAATTGTCGAAAAGGTCGCGGCTACTTCGAAAGGTATCTTCCAGCTGGCCGAGATCAGCCTACTCACTCGTCATGTCTCCTACTAACCCTGCCCACAGGAATGTTTCTCTATTCAAAGGTTGTCCTCGAAAATCTTCTCTCGCAAGACTCTGTTGCAGACCTTGAGGACGAACTCATGCAGGACAACTTTCCCCAAGTCTTGGATGAAGCGTAATAAGCTCCCCTACGTATCTGTAATTGAAACAACAGCTAACCACTATACTTTCTTGCGATATTAACAGATACGAGCGAATTGCTATTCGTGTTTTTAACCGCCCACCCCCTGCACGAAGGAGGTCAGCTGAGCAAATTCTTTCCTGGATAATCTGTTCAGCCAGAAAACTGCGATGGCGAGAAATCCAGTCTAGGTTCTGCATTTCTCCAGAAGAATGGGCTTCCAACTTTAAGAAGAGGCGAGTGGACACATGCAAAGTACTGTGCGGCTCTTTCGTGGAAGCAGAGCCTTGTTCAGACCACGGAGACACGCCATCTGAACAGATCATTAGCCTGGTTCACGAAACTGCTGGCAGGTAAGCTCGATTACACTGATTTTCACGAAAGGAAACGAGTTTAAGCTAAGTTACAAGTATTAAAGTTACCTAGCTCATACTGGACGAGTTCGAATTTTAGAAGACCATGCCAGAACCGCCATCTTTTGTTCACAGTACATAACCTCACACCCATTCACCAGCGAGCTGAATGCCCTTGCCATCCAGGAGTTAGCCGTGACGGGATTCTACGGCTTCCTAGATTATGCCGTCGCATTTTGGCATCATCACTTCGAGAGGGTCATCAATGGTGAATCCGGTACGAACTCTGATCTGGAGGCCGAAGCGCTACAATCATCGAAGCGTGTGCTCGATATTTGGGGTTCCAGTCAGCCACAGGATCAACAGGATGGTAATCTGATCTCGGAGCAACCAGTTCAATCCGATATCGAGCGGCAATATCAGGCAGCTGGCGGTATACATGACATTCACAAGCGCATTATCTCCATCAGAAAGGCCATCGAGGCCATCGATCTCAGTAGCCTGCCCGATAGCCATCGCATTTCGTTCCTCGAATTAAACGGACTTGCAAAATTCAAGTGTCCAAATCTACGGTGTACGAAATTTTTCACCGGTTTCTGCGACGAACACGACCGAGACTTGCATGTTCAGGCACATGAACGACCTTTCAAATGCCTGGTCGACGGCTGCTACGCCCGAGTCACGGGATACTCGACCTCGCAGGCTTTGGATGCACACACTAAGCGCTTTCATGATGAAGATTCAGGGACCACCTTGTCTTTTCCGAAACAATCAGGAAGAGAAGTATCAGCCATGCACGACGCTGCGCGACAAGGCAATCTTGCGCTGGTCAAGGCACTCTATGCAGCGGGCATTCCATTGAATTTACCCATCAAGCCCCGCGGCGGCCTGACTCCAATGGTCCTCGCAGCTCGGAACGGCCATGCGAATGTTTGCGAATATTTCATGCGTCAAGGATTAGACGGATGCAAGCGAACCTATGGGGATATTTCACCAGCCGTTGAAGCTATTAAACGAGAGGACATCGAACTTTTCCGATGCCTATGGCACAAACGCAAAGAAGCTTTTGATAGATATCAGGTACAGTCATTGGTCATTTCAGTTCTACGTCAAGGGTTACAAGAGCCTCTGGAAGAGCTACTCAAAGATCTCAAGCCCGAGCAAGTTCGGGCCAACCTACCGACAATACTTGATGCGGCCTCCCGCATATCCACGCACAATTTGGCCCAGAGAAAAATGGCTCTATATCAGACACAAAGAAGGCTCCTGCATTCAATTGTAGGGCGAGCTTTCCCACCTCTGTATGAAGCAGACGGATGTACGCTCAAGAACGGTATCCGTGTGTCTGATTCAGAATCATTTTCTTCATGTGCTCGTGAGATTTTGGCAGTAGCAAATAGCATTGGCTCGCCAGTTCTCCACTGGGCTTGTATGATCAGATCTTACGGCTGTGTTGAGTTCCTCTTGGACTTCACCGGTCCAACTGACTTAAGGACTCAAGACCCAGATGGATATACCCCTCTTCATCAGTTGGCTAGACGTGAGCCTGAATCGGACGATTTCACCAGGGCTTGTTACTTAGGCGTGTTCAAGCGGCTTATACAAGGCGATAGTGGGGCAGCAAACATACAAGATAGCAGGGGAAATTTGCCTCTTCATTATGGTTGTTACTTTAAGGGTCACAAAGACAAATTTCCACTACTGTTGCAAATTACCACCAATCTGAATCAACGAAATCACGCTGGGGAAACCGCTCTGGAACTTGCAGTGGACCATCAGTTGGATGAACAAGTTATATCACTGATCCAGAGCCGCCGTGTTGACCTTAATATAAAGACAAAATCTGGAGAGACATTAGCATTGCTAATTGAAAGGAAATGTGCAAATGAAACTATACAGATTTTACTAAAAGAAAACTAGAAACTGAGTCTCTTTTAGTATAAATTGACTTATTTCATTAGAAGTTACTTTATCAATAAAATAGATATATATTTATCAATGAAATGAAAGACGTTATTAAAACACATCACAAACTCTTATAGCGTGAACTTTGTAATCTATTGCTCTCAGTATAGCGCTTTTGCTTTGAATGCTCAACTATATGATAAGAAGGTAAAAGAATATTCGAATCATCTGTAGTGAGCGACAGCTATAACACAATGTAAATATCCTTTTGTCCCATACATTATCTATTTATAAAGCATTAATAATCTTAAAAGAGATATCCAGTCACATTTAGTTCACCGACATAATCCCAGGGACCCTCAATCAAGTCAGAAAGCCATGACTCTTGGGTCAAGCTCATAACAAGATCATCCGGAACAATATTATCTGCAGTCAAACCAGGAAGCTCTTCTGCGATATCCTCTTCTACATTCAGATGGGTCATGTTCGTAGCCATCTCTGTCCACATTAGCATCCTAATTGTCTTAAAAAAATGAGGCCCTTTGTTGAACAATCCCCAATTTGGTCCCTCATTACCCACTATCCCAATCATCTCCAATGCACGTTCAGCCTTCTCGGAATATTGGTCCAGAATTTGAATTACATCAGCACGTTTCCTGGCTTCGAATAGATCCCAGCCGGGTTCTTTGAGCGTATTAAGCTTGAAGAGAACCACGAGGCAGTGGGTAAGCTGAGTAACGTAATCAACACTAATACCAACCCAATCGAGAATCGGGAGATCGTCAAACACAGCTAACAAGTGTTCGATTACGGCCAGAGCCGATTCAAGGTCTTGAACTCTTCGGATTTGAGTTCCATGATGTTGATGATTACTTTCCTTATGCCTCAGAAAGAATTCTTTTATTTTCAATTCAGTGCTGAGCAGATAAAATATCGTAACCCCTAAACAATTTCAGTATATACTTATACAAATGTGATCTAATGAGGCTGAAATAGCTCCATACTCTCGGATTTAAACTCGTCAGGTAAGCCTTTCCTGATATCGTCAAGCTGTCTAAGCAGCGTTGTATATAGAAGCCTGGATGGTGGGCTGAAGCCTCCGATTTCTATATTCTGGTTTATAGGACAAGTAATCCCATTTGTAATTGATTGGCATCTTATTTGAGTCGTTAGGAGGATATCAAGGCTCGTCTCAGTACCTTGGCTCAAAAGTCGAGCACAATCCTCCAAGTATAGTGTCCAATCGAGCGGATATGTTTTTCTGTACGCTGCCCACGTACTAATTCTCATTAGCTAAATGACTTCTCATTTCAATCTCTCTTTGCGCCACTGAAACTCACGCGGAGGTAAGATAATACAATGCAGCAAATGTGCGACGTTCCTCCATGGTTCGAACGGGCCTTACAGATGTCTGGCTGGTTAAAATACGGCTAGGTTTGTCACGCGGTGATATCCCAGGGGTTGTATCTTTGTGTAAATCAAGTTCAAAAGCCATAGACACGGCCATCTGGGTAAGCATGGTCATGAAGGGTTTGTCTTTTTTAAAGTAATGGGACCTAAGTGAGTTAGTCTCCGGTGCAGACTTTAAAGGTTTCAGTGTAATAAACAAATGCATACCAAGAGGCAAAGCAAATTATACCGAGAAGGAGATCTACATTTGCGTGATGTTCACATAGGACTCGTTGGGAGATAATTTTCCAAATATGATCTGCAAGATCGAACTGCTTTGAGACGACCTTCGTGGTCAAGGCGATTATGACAAGCCAAACGAAAGGCTTCTCCTTATATAAATCTGAAGCGGATGTTGTAGTTGCAATATGAATAAATGGAAATGCTGGGATAAAAGCACGACGAAATGTTGCCAATTGTTCCTCGGCATCCAAAGCCGTGATGCCATGAATAGGCACATCGCCAGCAATTAGTAATTGAGGGCTGGTAGCGCTCGACGGTGAATCATCTGGGCTCTCGACCGGACGAAATAGATGAACAACGCTTTCAGTCGTGTCAATAACGACCTCCGGACCACGTGCAATCGATGGAGTGATAGGATTATGCAGCGAGTTTATGTTCGGTAGAGTGGTGTTATTACTCGGTTCACCTTGTTCGACAAGCTGTTTGGTGGATGCCTGTGAGCGCAAAATGGATATTACATTGTCCAGCTTCTCTTCCAATAGATTCCTTGGTGGTGGCGGCTGCACTGATCGAGAGGAAGCCTTTCGAGTTCTGCGTTTGCGTATAGACGCTGTCTGTTCGCAAGCTTTACCAAGACGATGGCATCTGGTTACTCATGAATTAGCGCCAAGGGCTTCCAAATAGGACTCGCGGTGAAGTAGATCGGAAATGGTAATACGCCCTCACCTCTCACATCCCAAACCATCAGACCGATAGAAGCATTTGCATTTGCCTCGGGAGCACGCCACGCATGCACGTCCGTATGGTGCTGGAGTCAACGACTCTGCCGCAGTTGGTTCGTGGGAGGTGTCGGGCTCCATCACTTCATCCTGACCGAAACCAATTCCGTTGCATTTGGATCAGTCAGAACAGGATGCTCGATTCCACAACTAGCAAAGCACAATGCAATAGAAAACGAATCTGACGAGTGAGCCGCGAGGGGAGGGGGTTTGAGACTTAAAACCCGCGGTTTTGGTTAAACCCGCTTCCAACCCCGCGGGATTCTGCGTGCTTGGGATTGTGTGTAACGAATACTGTGAGAAATTCCGAAAGTCACTTTATGACGACAGTTATGGCAGAGTAGAGCGGCATTAACACAGTAATAGAATCACCGCAAATCAGCCCTATCCCTATATATATATATATACCGGGTTATCCCTTTCTTTTGCTCAGAATTCCTTGACAGCTTAAAAACAATAACTTAAACTTCAACCCATAATTTGCCTACGATTCGAAACTTGTACTTGACGTGCCCGAAATTTTCAATTCTTTTTTCCTACGAAACAAAAATGCCATTTACCAAGCCTCACAGTCTCCCTTCCGATGGCTATGATTCACAGACAGCCTGGCGTGATATTCAGAAATTTCTACCCGATCGTCTTCACTTCACGCCTGAACATTGTCCAACGGAAGAATGGTGGGAGCATAAGGGATACAAGCTACACTTGGATCGATGGCGTAACTCAGAAGCCAAGATTCGGTTGATACTACATCATGGTGTTGGAACCAATGGCCGCCAAATGTCCATGATTCTTGGAGTTCCTTTGCACAAGGCCGGCTTCGAGCTTGTCGCTCTCGACATGCCTGGCTACGGCTGCACAGAAGTGTCCGATGGCCAGGTTTGGTCATATGACGATTGGGTTCAATTGTCAAGCGATTTCGTCGACCACGAAATGGAGGCGGATCCGCGGCCTATTGCTCTCTACGGTCTGAGTGCTGGTGGAATGCTGACCTATCATTCTGCCGCTCTCAACCCGAAGGTCAAGGGCATTATTGGCATGACTTTCCTTGACCAGCGCATTCAGCAAGTCGCCGACGCAACCGCGAGAAACATTCTTATGAGCCGAGTCGGACTGCCCTTCACTCGCGCTGCTAACGCAACACCTTTCACTCGTATTAAGATACCCATGTCGCTTGCAAGCAAAATGTCGACGCTGGTCAACAACAACAATGCCTTGAGGGTCTTCCTAAATGACAGCACTTCAGCAGGCGCATCTGCCTCGATGCATTTCTTAGCAACATACTCTCAATACAAACCGGCGATGGAACCAGAAGCCTTCGATGTGTGCCCCGTCCTGTTAACCCAGCCTGCACAGGACAGATGGACGCCCTTGGAATTGAGCAACCTATTCCTGCCTCGAATTACCAAGGTTCCCGTAAAAACGGTGCAGCTTGAGAATGCGGGCCACTATCCCCTTGAGGAACCTGGACTGCAACAAATGGCGGACGCTATTGTTGAGTTTTTAAACGAGATAAGCCACTAAAGCGGACATAGGTTATTATATGCTTTTAAAGAGATGATTTACGGCGCAGTATATTCTGTCTGGAAGATTAGAGCAGTCTATTCAATATATGAAAAGTTCTAATGAGCAACCTTGTATTGCCTCGCAAGATATACATGCATCAAGCTTTTAGACTGTTTACTTGCGCTTACCAGCGTGCAAAAATTGAGCATAGGGGTTGTTTGTTTCGGTGTATCCAAAATCTCGAGAAATTATAACTTAGGAATCTTGATCATCCGCTTCAAGAGTGGCGATATTCCATTCCACCTTGACTCAAGAATCCTTGTTAATCTCTTCAAATGTGCCGATATTCAAATCGCTCATTGCCCCGATTGCGGTTGTCAACAGCTGAACGATACCTTCGTGCCCCCCTTTAACAGCCCATATGAGTGGTGTCCGCTCCTTTGTATCACATATAGCTGTATCGGCTCCCCGGTTCAATAGTTTCTCAACCATGCTTTCATGCCCCCATTTAACAGCCCATATAAGTGGTGTCCGTCCCTTTTCATCACACTTGTTCAAGTTAGCTCCCTGATCTAATAGTGTATCGAAAGCCCATCCGCGGTTTCTTATGATAGTCAATATGAGCGGTGTCTGACCCTTTTTGTCACACTTGTTCGGGTCAGCTCCTCTATCGAGTAATGTAGCGAAGGTCCGTTTGTAACGCCGGATGATAGTCCACATGAGTGGTGTACGGCCGGAATTATCATCATCGTTCACATCAACCTCTGAAGTCATCAGGTGCTCAAGAGCCGACACCTTACCAAAGATTGTGGGAAGATATATTGGTCTCTTACCATTGGTGCCGTTGTTGTTCAAATAAGAACCAAGCTGTGGTCGATTCTGGGGAGTATGTTGCCGCCTGCTTATAACCAATCTCATTGGAATGTCATTATGACTCTTTTGTATAGCCAATATAAGCGGCGTCAGGCCAATATTACCCTCGTTCACATCAGCCCCTGCGCTCAATAGTTGCTTAACAATTGACACTCTATCCAACTGAATAGCAAGTAATAATGGCGTCTGACCATTGGCACCTCTCCAATTCACATTGGCTCCTTCTTTTATCAGAAAGTTGGCGATATCATCATACCGCTTCTCTATAGCTGATATGAGTGGCGTCTGACCATTATTATCCTCATTCACATCAGCCCCTGCGCTCAATAGTTGTTGAACAATCGACAGTTTACCCCACTGAACAGCAAGCAATAGTGGCGTCTGACCATTGGCACCTCTCCAATTCACATTGACTCCTTCTTTTATCAGAAAGTTGACGGCAAATTCGTCTCTTCTGTTGAAAAATGTCAATAGTGCCGTCTGACTTATTGTCTTTTCAGTTTTCGTGTGCTCAAGCAAACACTTAACAATAGATGTGTGCCTTTGTGCTGCAGCCCATGTTAGTGGTGTCCAGCCACGTTTGCTTGGCACCTCAAGATTAGCTCCATTCTGAATTAGCAGCTCCAGAGTGGTATCACGGCCATTTCCAATGGCTAGTAATACTGCCGTCCGGCCGTATATATTCTCTTTTGCCTCGATATTGGCTCCGTTATCAATAAGTAGTTTTACAACGGCATCATGCCCCTTCTCGGTTGCCCACATTAGCGGTGTCTGGCCAAACGTGGCATCTATTGTCTCAATTTCGGGGTTTTTCTCAAGCAATAGTTCAACAACAGCTTCATGTCCAGATTTAGCAGCCCATAATAGGGGTGTTTCGCCGTACGTGTCTTTTGCCTCAGTATCCGCGTTGGCTTCAAGCAGGAGCTTAACAGTAGCGTCGTGTCCCTGTTTAGCGGCCCATAGCAACGGCGTGCGGCCATGTTCATTTGCATCAACGTCAGCTCCCTTCTCAAGCAGTAGCTTAACGACGTCGTCTCGCCCCTCAGTGGCGGCCCATAACAGCGGTGTCCGAGTATGAACAGTATCTCTCGCCTCAATGCCAGCCCCGTTTTCTAGACACAGCTTGGCAACAGCAGTATGGCCACAATAAGAGGCTATCATGAGATTGGTAAAGTGCTTGGTAGATTGTAGACCTGTGGTCTGCCAAAAGAGGTCAAACCACGAGGAATAACTCTCCGAATTCGCGTCACATATCTTGAGAACGGAAAGCAGAATCGCACTATCATTCATAATGTGAGATTCACGAAGATGCGCGTTCCAATTTTTTGCCGAATACTCTAAGAGTGCATGCTTGCCATGTGGTTGCTCGCGCTCCCCCATGACATCTGGCGAGTTGAATAGGCCAAGGTAGAGCACGCAGATATCTGCAAGAACAGTTTGTGCCTCGCGAATTGCGATTGAGTGTTTCCATCGTAAACCAGGTGTGATGGATCTAGGCGATGCCCAATCTGCCAGAAGAAAATCACGGGCCGTCTGATGAAGAAAATAGATCTTTCCATGGTATATTGTAATGAACAATCCGCACCAGGTTCTTAGGCGTGATTCAAAAGATTGCTCTTGCTCTAAGTCAAGATCATTGAAGTTTTGTATAGTCTCATCCATGCTCACAGCCACGTTCATTTCTGATACCGTCAGTGGCCGGCTAGCCACCAAGATAATACATAGAGCCTTTCGAACCATCGGGTGGTCTTTAGACTTGCTAAGTATTTGCTCATATGCTTCATTAATACTTTTCGGAAGCGTTGTGATGATAAGTTTAACTTCTTTCAGAGTCTTTTTGAAAATTTCTTTGTCCAAGTAATCGAATATTAAAAACACCCAGAGATAAGTACGGTTAGGGGTGTTCCCTAACCTGAACTCCAGATAGTTTTTAATTTCAGACGGCAGGTTGTTCTTTATAGATAACCGTCTGGCCCGGTAGGAGATAACACAATTAATCTCGTGACTAATGGTGTCCAATTCCTCCTCTCCTGGTATATGGATATTTGGAAAATGATCCCTTAAGTATTGAAATCTGGAAACGATTTGATCGTATGGGCGGCATGTCAGAAGATACTTCAGCTTGCCCTGGGCCAAACGTGTTTCTGAGAATTGAATCTCAATATTCTTCATCAGATTCTCGAATTCCGAATCGAGACATTCATCCAACGCATCGAGGACTATAATAATAGGCCCAGTCTGTATATCATTAACGGCGTTTCGGAAGACTTCCCAGAGTGACTCTGTTGAGTTGATCAAGCCCTTTCCGTCCATGCGAAATTTCGCCATTGCATGTTTAATTAATACCGGTTTCTGAGTGAAGAGCTGATGGAGTAGCGCGCAAAGAGTTTGCCGAATGGTGTTTTGATCTTGATCTTTGAAGAAGAAATAGCAAATTGTGACGGATCTTGGTAAGCCGTGGTCTATCAAGTACTTGGCTAATACCGATTTCCCACAGCCAGGATCTGCAGTTATCACTAATGGTCCGGAATCTCGTTGCAGCCATTTTTGGAAATACTTGTGATGGAGAAGCCACAGGCATGTGCCTTCCACCCTTTCTTCCACTAAATCTTTATACCACTCATAGGTAGCGTCCTTGTCACTAGCTGTGAGACGGAACAGCTGGTGACACATTTGCTCACTTTCAGTCAGCCGCTCTTTGGCAAAGTCTTTTTGTATTTGCACATTCTCCTTGGCGGCGGCTAAATTCTGCGCTGAAATACCCATAAGATCTAGAACTCATATCAGCATAGAACGAATGATGAGATATTATAATGAAGATTCACCTGACAGGCTGTCTTTAATTGTCTTTTCAGCTTCCAATTTGTTTGGAGCTATTCGACAGAGAAGAGCTTTCGCATAGGCTGTGGCAGTCATAGCCGCATAGCCCTGCCATTGATCGTTCCTGTGCGAGTCGGCATAGTCGCAGATGCCACGGATAATGAGGCAAGGAAAGTGATTCATAAGTCCTGCGGCCTCCATTTCAAAGCAAAGAACATCTTTTTCGGCAATAAGTCTATCCCGGACTAAGGCGTCCTCCATCAGCCGGTTCGCTGAGGCGATTAGACCATAGTGGATTTCTGGATCTTCATCATCGTCGGTCCGTTCAAGTCGATGAATGAGATTCAACGGATCGTCACCGCAAACAGCGGCACATCTTTCGGCGTTGCCTAATGGATGAACGAAATGTGACTTGTATAGCCTATCAGAGGTCGCTGCAGGCCGTCCGTATTTCCTGCGTAATCTGGGCTTTCCATCAAGTACGCTGTTGACAGCTTTGGCAAGCCGGTTCCCCTCGTATTCATATTGTGCCATGAGTCCATTCACAGCTGCGAGCAGAACCTGCGGTGACTTATTCAAGGACGCCATATTTCGAAACCCTTGGTCTTGTCCCTGCAGAGTTTCGCCGTAGTCGTATTGGAAAACACTGCCACTCCCGTTGCTAGAAACGCCGACCACAACGTCGCCAAGGCGGATGTCATGCTTTGGACTGGGCGCGCCGCTGCCTATTCCAACCATGAGGCCTATCCTGATGTTGGGGAATGTGTGTAGCATGTCTCTTGCGACGCCCGCGGCAGATGCCAAGCCGTTTTCTCCGTACGGCAAGACGGCGATCGCCACATTGTGTCTTCCGATTCTGCCCAGCGTGTAATCGTTCCTATCGTGTGTTGATAGCCCCTCATGCTCTTCGTGTCGTTCGTCGAGAAAAGCCTGCGCAGCGACGTACTCTGTATGTACAGCGCAAATCCAGCCAACGGTGTACAGGTGAAGATGCCGCATTATATGTCATCGAAACCAATGAAACTCACTGAGAAAGCAGTTTGAGTATTTTGGAATTAAAATTGACGCAAACTTTTATTGTCTCAGCCTTGTCCATGTGTTGAATTGGCACTTCCCCGCCCCCGTTCCAAGTTGGCTGCACCAATCGCGAGCACTCTCGCGTGTTCCTCCAATAGCATTATGCCAGCTCCTGTTGGGGTGTACAAGCAAACATCCGGGCGCATGTCATTTGTTTAAATTCATGGTCAACATGAAGTATCCTGAGGCCTCATTGTTGCCTTGTGTAAAGTTCCACTGGAGTAGGCCACGGGAAACTTTCTAGTTCAAATCGCCAGCGAGGTAAAATGCCTTTATTATGGAAGAATTATGAATCATACTTGCGAGTTACATCTACGTTGATGAGGCCATGATGCAACTCGCTCTTTTCCAATTAAGCCGGCTGATTTTATTATAGGTGGTCTTTATAATCCCGGTAGTAGTTATACCGCAGTAGCTAGAGCCGCGAAAATTCCTGTAAGTAGTATAGAGTTGCCAAGAAATGTAACATAGATGTGCCAAAGGCAGGGGTAGCAACTTAATTTTTTTGGACGTGAAACCAGGTTGACCAAGCTGCCGCTGACGGTAATAGCCAGTTACAATGCCCTCTTAAAACACGTCAAGTATGTGATACTTGGTCTAAAAAAATGTTAAGGTAAAACAAAATAGACAGTGAGTAAGGCTTCAATGTACCTATATTTGGTACGATTGTCGCCGTTAAACATTATAGAACAACCACTCACGACAGCTCCCTTTGCCGGTATCCTGAATAGGAATGTATTTTCGAGTTCCCCGCATGGAAAACAAGTCTCCGGAGAATATCGGCACATACATGCAGCAACGTCTACTTGCTGTAGCATTCTGAAAGAATTACATCAGGAGTCAAGAAATGCCCAGAACGGGAGCGGGCGCAGACAGGACCATTTGTGGTGTGGTTCTAGAAATGGATTATTTAGCAATATGCCAAATTCCCGCACACCATACCAACGTCAACTTAGTGGTGTCTTGATATTCCGTGGTAAGAGGAGAGCTCTCAATATACAATGCGTCAAGGCCAGTTGTAACTTTTAAAATGCTTTACCAGTTGGTGTCGGCACTTGTAGCTTTTGACTCGGAAGAATCCCGCTCAACCCGCCTCGTTGACAACCGCATATTAACCAGTTACGGCAGGTCATGCCATGATATCCACAAGAGTATACACGGCAAATTGGGCGGTTTTCCCGTTATATTAAACCAACTGCGTGTTTCGCTAGCTCAACAGCCAAGTCGCTCGGCGTAAGTGACTGGTGTCTCGGTGCTTATATGCAGCACTGCATGTCCGAACTACTAATCGTATTCTTCCATCACCATCCTCATGCAGTTAAGCTTAGGCTACGGAGTATATTGTGTCACAATTAAGCATCCTTGTTAGGGCTGTCAAAACTCCGTTTCACTGCGTACACTAGCCTCGGGAATGTATATAAACATGCCACCCGGTCGCACTTCACTAATCAATCAGATCAGTGAAGACATCTAGCACCGGTTCAAACAAAATACATACAATATGAAGGTTCAATTCCCTTATCGGATGCTTTCCCTTTATTCCTGGACTTCAATTAATCGGTCTGACAGGCTGTCATACTCTCTGCCCTTGTTGGGCTGGCTTCCGCAGCCCCTTCCGCACTTGCTGGTGTCGACTACAACCAATGGTGGGACGAGGGTTGCAACGGCCGAGCCCTCCTAGGAGGCTCACTGACCCAGGGATTTTGTACCATAGTTGAGGATTTCCCTGGCGCAAGCATCAAGCTTACACCAACAAGCCCATGCCCTGAAGGCACTTCGCCACAGGTTACTATTTCCACTACAAACGACTGCGACAATGATGAGCCTGACTGGACCTTTATCGCGACGGACGAATGTGTTAACGTCACCATTCAACCATCGGCAATCCACCTTAACTGTGTGTAGTTGGAAATAGGGTGGAATAAAGACAGATGGCATTGGAAAATGAGTGTTGGAGGGTTGCGATTTATTCTTGCTATATAGGCCCTGAATGAATAAAATGCAATCAAACAATCGGATTGGTGTTCTATAGTGTATCGCCCAAATTCCTTTAGCCGCTTGATGTTCTGAACTGTCATATAGAGGAATAATAAGTAGAGGTGGTAGTGTACTCTCACTTATTTGCTGATATAAGGTCATATAAGTTCTGGCTTCTTGATACAGAGTACTCTCATTAAATCTCCAGGCTAAATAAACTTACCGAGCAGCTATTTACGTATAAGGCGCTCAAACAAATTCGGCCCTATGTCCTAGTTAGGTGCCACGTCACTACCTTGATTGAGGGTGGGCAGAATTAAATTATCTCCAAGTATTTTTTAGGGAATGACTAATGGCGTAGTCTAAAAAGAGCCTTGGAAGCCACAAAGCTACACCACAATGATATCGTCGTCGGTGAATAACGTGTACATTTACAAAATAACAAGGGTACGCTAGCACCATTATGGAGACGTCTGTAGCATAGAATAATCAGATTGATGATCTTCTGGTTGTCGTTCTGTGTAGAAATTGATATTAAGTCTAAATTACGCTCTATAATTTGCGAACTAATTAGTAGGAAAAGCAATTCGACATAGGCCAAACGACCAACGATCCCAAGCTCTTCTCATCACCACACTCCCTTGCAACCCATTACAAATCAATCCCCAGAACTATTTCTTCCCCTCCAGATTCCACTGGAACATCTTTCTGAAGATCTCCTTTCCATTACCCTCAAGGACATCTCCATGGCAAGGAATGATCGTTGTAAAGTCCCAGTTGTTAATGACCTTGAGGCTGTCGTTCATGCTATTGCGATCCTTGGCGCCATGCCAAATAATCCGCTTGGGCCACGTAGCATCTCCGTAGGTGTGTTGCACTCCCTGGAACAGCTTGTTGAGGAATCCGCTCGGCCTCTGAGACGCAGGCACCTTACTGTACTGCTCAGTGGCAGGGAGATTGAACAGGAGATCAGCCTCGATGAGAACTTTGTCTGGCCTGTAGTTGAAGACAAGCTCCTTGTTTGCATGACCATCGACATACTCGTAATCGAAATCAGCATCAAATTCGTCGCTGATTTTGATGTCACGCTTGCCATTCTTGGTGAAGACGACGGCGAATTTGTTATCATCGATCTTGGGGTCCTTGGTTTGGGTTGCGCGCTTCTCGGGAAGGCCCTCTGGACCAATTATTTTGGCCCCAGGGTATTGCTTAGCCCATTCGGAGATGAAGATGTGGTGCTCAAAGTCGAGGGCGACGATGTAGCCTACGCGACCTCCTTGCTCTGTGACTTTGGTCTTGGTTGCTTCTGTGAGAGCAACGGGGGAAAAGACAGCGAGAGCGCCAGATGTGAGTCTCACTATGTGATGTATGAGTATTATAAAAACGATAAGTCTTATACGGGGGAGCCAAGACATACCGAGTGTTCCACGGCCGCCAATGCTGAGCTTGCCAAATCGTGAAAAGGGCACGGAGAAAGTGGTGACGTTGGGAGTGACATTGCGGATGACCATGAGGTCTGCCGGATTAGTTGGGATCAAGCTAGCCGACATGTTGTTTCTTGTTTGAAAAGGTCGAAGTAAAAGCGAAAATAGGCGTTTGCCGATCTGGGGTGTGTAACTGTAGAACAATGAGTTGAAGTTTTACAAGTTGGTGGTGGTGGTGGTGGTGGTGGTGGTGTTATTTAAAAGGTGGTTGTGTGAAGTCATAATGAAAACATTCAATCTCAATGATGCAACGCGACGTATTTAAACACTTACGCCATCATGCTAAAACAGACCTGATACACGTATCGTCGATAACTCAAATCATACGCTCGGTTCATCCGTAGGGCAGATTTAGTAAGCACGTTAAACATCGGGGCCTGGATACGAATAAACGCTAGGCGCGTCGTTGGTGGCGAAGGATTTGTTCGTTCATTTGGAATTCCAAATTCCATGCAGGGCGCCCAGCCAGAGCGTACAAGTATGAAGAGTTGAGCTTACCTTAGCTAACCATAGTCCGAACGTGGCTGTCGTCAAGCCGAGGCTCATCACCAGAACCCCAGAAGAAGAGGAGCTACCTCGGGAAAGACCCAATCGAGCCTGTTATTAATGTCAGATTTCAGGGAGCTAGAGCGAGGCCAGGGCAATGACATCAAGGCCGTTGATTTCGGACACGGAGCAAGATTGCCCACCCCCGGCTTTTCGGCCTGATTGAGCAACCCGCCGATATATAATAGAGCGGGCTTGTCCGAACTCGTCCGGATAGGACATTGGAATGGATACTTGTTTGTTCTTGCTTTGCTTTGCACAAGCTATAGTATTTGAGTTGTTGTTTATTTGTTGCGTATGTTTGCTGTTCGAGCCGATATAGAAACAGAATGCCCCCCTGAGCGAATTAGCGCAAAGCCCCCAAGATCACTAATAAACACACGTAAGACGCCTAAATCTCAAATTGCAAAACTAAAATCCAACTCTGCCAAAAACAGCCAACACCTCAACCAGATATCTACTACTGCAGCTCAGCGTCGACGACGTATAAGCATAGTGTAAAATTGCCCAGCTGTTGTTTGTATTGTTCAGATACTTTACATCTATCCTGTCGAATGCCTCTACACCGACACGCTTGACTTATTCTCTGCTTGCGGCCTAGGTTGTTATAGAGCTTGGGACTTTTTGCAGTTCAGCCTTCACTAGCCGTACTTGCTCTATCCATGCCAATAATATCTTGTATTCATTTCATAACGGCACAATGGTAAAACATCGACCGGGTTAAAAAAAAAAGTGATGAATTTGCTCTTAGTCTGCGTCGCATCAATATTTATTGATCCATTTGACAATTCTATTGCCAGCAAACATCATCGCCGATTCAGCCAGCATCAACTATAATCCAACCCACCATTGTTGGGGACGGAGACCGCCATATACAGTATTGTATACGCACCTACCGATGATTCAAGTAGCAGA